CAGTAAGTCCAGTATTCCGAGTTTGTTATTCTGATCCTGTTCTTGTATTTTGCATTAGTCTAGTTCGTGTGTTATTGTCTCGTCTGTTTTCTAATTAGGTTTAGTTGTTGGAGTTTGTTATTCCTGAGCCTTGTCTCTGATTTAGTTTCTGGTTTTGTCGTTTATTTGTTACTTTGTATTCTTATCACCTTGTTGGTTGCACTGTAAATAAATAATCTGCACTTGGATCCGCACCTTTTTGTTTCTTGTTTTGATCACACTAAAATCATGACAGTTAAGTTTTGACAGCGCTAGGAGGTGATTGTTAGGTTGTCATAACACTTCTAAAACCGTTTTCCCAAGTTTTCTGAATAAACATCTACTTTACTACATCTAATAAGCTTGCAGTAGAAAAACAAGCCACGCCCACTGTTTTCTCATTTAATATTACGTTTCTATAGGAACTGTAATAATACTAGTTGCAGTAATAGTTGCAGCTTCCGATTCATGCGGATTTTAACAGAGAATGTGTATATCAACTCAAGCATTGTGAAACAACCTGATCTTAACCAGTTTGTATTCCTTTATATTTCTCAACTTAAACTTACTCTTAAACCCAGAGCTTGTTCTACTCATTTTGTGTAACAGACCTAATGTCCTGACATGGAAAATACATTGTTAACACTGGATAGTATATGAACACTATAATACCACAAATATTAACATTAAAATACTAAAACATGTCAAATGTCTTTTGTTTTAGACGAAAAACCATACCTAAGATCCCTTTGTGTATATCTCTATATTTATGTAAACATTTAAAAAAAGATATCACCACAGTATAAAACAAACATTTTTCATATCTTGCTAAAATTACTACTGACACTATTCTGAATACATAAACTGCCATACTCTTAATTATGACATATTAAATCATATACCTGAGATCAGGCGGTGTGTCTTTACTCTTAAACTGCATTGGAGGATCCATAGACCAGTCACTCTTCATAGACACACAGCTGGGCTCTGGATCTGATCTCTTCTGAACTGAACTACAACAGAGAGAGAATGAATTTAATGGTTTGAGTTTAGTTCTGTAGATAAAACACTTTAAATTTTGCTTTTAATTGCACCTTTTGTTTTGTTTTTATTTTACTTTCATTGGTGACATAAAAACCATAAATTGAATTAAAGTACAATAACTACACTTACAGATGTGACTCTTGGTTTGGAAATAAAACATTAAGATAAAAATGGACAGTATGAACACCATAATAATACAAATATGAACATTAGTAGACATCAAAAGATATAAAATGGCAAATGTATTTTGTTAATAAAAAAAAAATGCTATGCCTGAGATCATTCTTTGTGTCTCCACTCTTAAATTTAATTGGATGATTCATAGACCAGTCACTCTTCATAGACACACAGCTGGGCTCTGGATCTGATCTCTTCTGATGAGCTGAACTATAACACAGAGAGAATGGGCAATGAGAATTTAATGTTCTGAGTTAAGTTCTGTATATAAAACATTATTATTTTGCGTTAAACTGCAACCTTTTCTTTAGTTTTTATTGACATGGTTGATATAAAAACTCTAAATTGAACAACAGCAGAGTAACTAATCTTACAGTTGTGTCTCTTGGTTTGGAAAATTTGGATATAACGTACCATAATAACATGCAATAAACATATAACATCAACATAAAATTGAAAACTACATGGACACCATAAAAACACAAATATTAATTTAGGAAAATATATAAAAAAGTCAAATGTCCTGTTCATAAAAAGAAAGAAAGAAAGAAAGAAAGAAAGAAAGAAAGAAAGAAAGAAAGAAAGAAAGAAAGAAAGAAAAAAAGAAAGAAAGAAAGAAAGAAAGAAAGAAAGAAAGAAAGAAAGAAAGAAAAAAAGAAAGAAAGAAAGAAAGAAAGAAAAAAAGAAAGAAAGAAAGAAAGAAAGAAAGAAAGAAAGAAAGAAAGAAAGAAAGAAAGAAAGAAAGAAAGAAAGCCATACCCAAGATCATTTTGTGTTTCTCCACTCTTAAAATGTTTTGGATGATTCATAGACCCCATTACTCTGCATAGACGCTCAGCTGGGCTCTGGATCAGATCTCTCTTGAACTGTAAGAATAAGAAGATGAGGTTATTGGTTTAAAGTATTAGCTGTAGATAAAACAATTATTTGTGCATTAAAAATCATTTCTTACACTATGCCAACATAAAAACTATAAATTGAACTACGGTGAATACAGTATTTTTTTTTACAGATCTTAGTTTGGAAATAAAACATCAAGAATCGGATAGTTTAAACACCATAATACCATAAATAATTAGCTAAAAAGAAGAGAAATGCTATACTGTGATCAGTTTGTGTACCTCTACTCTTAAAATGTACTGAATGAAGGTTTGCATTAATTAGGGTTTATAAAAAAACATTTAATTTTAATTAACTTGCACATTTTGTTTTTGTTTTTCCTTTACTTTTACACTGTTGACATAAAAATATAAACTAATCTACAGTACAGCAACTACTCCACAGAAGTGTCTCTAAGTTTGGAAATATTAAGATAAAATTAGCTAGTATGGACACCATAAGAGAAAAAAATAGCCCACAATTTTATCATAATAATTTTTTTTTTTTTTTACATTTTGATATTCCCACATCACTTAAATCTAAATTAAGTTTTTACTCATAGTACCAGGTCCTGGAAAAAACCTTTTTGGATTAAATGGGATTATATGGGACACATTTCAATAACTGCTGAAAACCAACGCTGCTTTTAAGAGAGAGTTTTTGTTTATCTGTCATCCATGATAGATCCAAAAATAATCTATAAGTAATTTGATGCATCACTGACTGAATAACGGTAAATATATTAATTCAAATACACAATATGCTGATAAAATGAACACAAAATTATATGACAAAAAATAAACCACGTTCATCCACGTTATTTTAAACCTTAAACCATATTGTCAAGCAGACTTTCATAACACTCTCTCGAGCAGTTATTGGCGTTAGCCTAACGTAACGGCTAGCCATAAGAAAAGTTTATATAAAACACTTTGTCACAGTAGATATTCGATGTTTAAACCAAAAAACGATCAAACGTATTAAAAATGAGAATTAACATCCTACAGATAACGTTTTCATTTCAATACGCCAGTCGCACTCACCTTACATCAACGTTTGAGGTAAGTTAACGTTAGGCTTTTTGATTTAATTTCCTAAACCTCGACGATTAGTTTTTAAAGATTCTTTTTTTTTTTCAAATATTGTTTTAAACTTGATAAAGAGTCTATTCCAGCTCTTGAAAATGGCGAAATAGCAGTTTGTCTTACATCTCGGTCAAAAATAGCATTGGCTTGGCTTGTCCTCCTGTCAGAGGATATCTCTGACTCCGCCCACTAGCGGCTGCTGCGATCAGTCAGTTTCAAGTGTTCTGCTACAGAGGGAACAGACGAGAAACAGTCTTCAGCATTTCCAATGGGATAAACGTGGAAACAGGTGTAACACCGGCAAACGCAAGCCGCTTTTACCAGTTATTGAAAAAAAATTAACTGACTCATATAATCCAAAATAATTTTCTTTGGCAATTTGAGATTGTACATTTTATTAGACCTCCACAACACACACAATTGAAGTCTCCTTTTATATTATGTTGGTTAAATGAGTTTTGGATTGGTTAAATGCAAAGTAGCATATAGGGACACCAAACTTGGCCCTTCACTTTCACTTTCACTTGATTTCTATTATTAACTGTGTAGTGTGCATGAGTTCTATTTGTGTCAGAGATGCTTCGATTTGCTTTATACGTTTGTCTTTAGACATTGCCTATGGGTCATTCTACAGAAACTTCTAATTTCGGTATAATAAAATGTCTAAAAATATTTTTTTTAGCATTTAAACTTAGTTCACATTAATCAATTACTTTTTGACCTTATGAAATCACAAAACAACTTTATTATTTTAATGTATTTATTTAAAGACGTACCATTTTTGGGGTGTTACCCACTTTTTGACAACAGTAAAGATTTCTAAGAAATATTATTTCTTGATTGTTTTCACTAAGGTGGTTCATTCCGCTGTGGCGACCCCGATTAATAAAGGGACTAAGCTGAAAGGAAAATGAATGAATGACATTTAACAAGATTAGTCACAAATAGAGTATACATATTTTTTGTTTGTTTTAATCAGATTTGTTAAAACGGGTTATTCACAATGTTAGTTCATTTATGCAACCATACATTTGCCATAAAAAATTTAAAACTTAAACAAGTAATGATGCATTACTTCAACGCTTAAATCTTGAGTGCAGCAGAACTCAGTGGTTGTAAATTTTTATACTTTAATTTATGTATGTCAAGACATTTCTGACTAGTGAAAAAACACATTAAGGCAAGTGATACAATTAATGACCACAGAAACAGTGTTCTTTGGTGGAGTTACCCATTAGAAAAGATAAAATGCATTTTACAAAATGTCTGACACAAGAGCATGATATACTCAATAAATGAAGTAGATTAATCTATATATTTATTCATTCATACTCTAGGTTGTTTTTTTATTATTTAAAAAAAATACCTTTACAATAAATGAGGTGATTCCAACTTGATAAATTTGATTGTTGTAAATATTTTGTTGTATTTTAAATGGAAATTCTTCCTTCTGTGCATGGCTGTGGGGATGAGCAGTTTTATGGTGTTTGGAAATTTACAAAAGTAATTAAAACACATTTATTGCCACATTGGTGACTCAAAAGTGTGTAATTATTCAACTAACATATTGATTTATTTTAAAATATAAAGAAAATGTAAACCTAAACATTTTTTCAAGAGTGATTCTAGGGACAGAAAATGTACTTTCATTAGATTGACACTCCTCACAAACACACGACTCTGGTTCTGATGTGCTCTGATGGACTAAACTATAAGAGAGTGTTTAAAGGCAATACCGTATATATACCGTATATCCTTCAGAGAAAACATGAATGTCACTCGCTTAGCGTTTTAAAACCTGATCCCCTCTTTATTAACATTAAAATGATATAATAATTGTTTCCTCCTTTTTATCAGACAAAGTCTAAATGTAAACTAAAGGAATTGGTCTAATACTGATATCATAAAATACAGGTTTTTTTCATACACAATCGCTTCAACGTGTTTAAATCAATGGTTTAAATGCCTTCAACTCAACTTTTATTTTCACTTTCACTTTGTCAGGAGTGACAATGACGTCACGTGCTTGATGTTGTACCTCGCGGAGGTGCAAATTTGGTAGTTTTCCATTACAAATGCTCAAAGACAATAATTACAAATATTTCAAACATACAGATGAACAAATATTCACAATAATTATCTTAGAATATTCGATTATTTAATTAAATGTATTTAACAAATGCTTTAATGTGTCCAGTAAGAAAAAACAAACATTTATTGACAGTGTTGGGTAAAGTTACTTTTAAAAGTAATATATTATAATCTTACATCTAACTTGCTCTTTAAATAAATGCAAAATCACATAACACAATTCACATTCATTTCCTTAAAAAGAAACTAAGTAAACACATTTACTGTAGCAACTTGAACAGTCCCAGATAGCAAAATACACTCGGGCCAGTTCCGGCTAGATTGTCGCCTGCCGAAGACTTACCCCTCGGCCCAACTCCGGCTGCCGGACTCGGGCCGGATGCCTGTGGACTCACTGCCCGATTCCGGCCCGAATCAAGCGGGCCAGATGCGGCGGCCGTAAGCGAGCCGACGCTGCGCATCCGCGCCAGAATCGGCGCGAGGGTAATGTGCGCTGCGGCCCGGAGCTGGCGCGACTCCGTATTTATACACCTTATAAAACCTTTTGGTATTACATTGGTACTTAATATATGGTATTACAACCATTTCAATTTATACAACAGCAAACACAGGCTATAATGTAAACACAAAGTGTAAGCACTGTGTTTAACCTTTGAATAAAGTGCAAACTGCATACACATTCTGTAACGAAAATAATCAGACAAATGACAAAATAAATAAATGTTAAACGTTTATTAATTGCAAGAAAAAAATAGTACTAAAATTGTATAAATAATTTTGTAGTGCACAAGAATATCAATATAAAAACAACAATAAAACAACACATTAAAGACACACAGAAAGATTTAAACAAAAAATCTAAAAATTACACACAAACACAGATGTTTTTAAAACAACCCTGTTTTCCCAATAGACTTGAATTAAAAATTTGTACAAACAGCTAAATTTTACATAAACCTAAATATAGAAACCAATTTAAGATATAGCAAGAAACATCTTAAAAATACCAATGACAATCCGCAAAATATCCAAGTCAAACTTGTAAAAAGTACTGCAGAATTCTGAAGAAACATCTTGAAACATTTTTAATAAAACATTAAAATAATAATAAACAAACAAATATATATATATATATATATATATATATATATATATATATATATATATATATAAATAATTGCAGAAGTATAAAGTCAAACTTATTTTTAAATAAACTTGAACAAAATCAATTGCACAAACAGCAAGACATGAGTGAGATGATTATACATTTCATATATATACACGTCTTGTGCAATTTTATATTTATAATTTTATTTGTATTACGTTTATTAAAAATGTATCAAGATGTTTCTTCAGAATTTGGCGCACACACATACATACATACCTACATACCATACATATATACACACACACACACATTTATATACATATACATATAAATGCAAATGAAAGAAACAAATTGTTCAAGTATCAGGGAACATCCTAATACACTTAAAATGTTGTTTAAAAAATAAAACAAAATAGTGATGTAGACATTTGACACATTAGCTTTCTCTTCTTTCTTCCTCCATCCCGGTCAGGGGCAAGTTGTAGCTACCTTGTAATGCATTTTTCCACTTCTTTATCAGTGGCGTGGTATGGACATTTGTCCTCACTCCATCTGTGATTAAAAGATAAACAGATAATTAGTAGTGAACAAGTACTAATGTAAAAAAAAAGAAAAAATTAGGAAAAAAGTAGGCTACCTACGAAGCAAAAAAAACAATAAAAAAAAACAAATAAACTTAAAACACTTTGAAATTAGCAAGAGCTTGAACTTACCAGTTTCTTCATTTGTTCGGGCTGCTCCTTTAGTTGATTTTCAAGCTTTTCCAAATCAAATTGGCCAAAGGAAGGTCAAATGTGTTTACATCTGGAATTTCATCACGTCTGTTTTGGTTTTGTGAGAATCAGGCCCAGCTGCTGCTTTATGACGTTGCATGATTTTAAAACTTCAGTCAGTCGTGCTAAAAAAGAAAAATAACAGATTAGTATAAATCAACCTGTAGCTTATTCTCATACAACTTCTGTAAATACAACAGTGGGTTAGACACTGCTGATATTCTCTAGTTGATCTTTACTTTCTAGCTGCATTAAACCTTAACAAATTTAGTGATGTCTTCAATTCTTACAAAGACATCACGAGATGCAATAAGTTATGTCTTGATCTCAAACTGCACTAGAACAAAGACTGTAAATGTTCATAGGTGTACTGCAGGAGTGTCCAAACTTTTTGGGCCGAGGGCCAGATGCCAAAAAACAAACGTTGTCGCGGGCCAAATTTTACATACATCACACAGACATGTGTATATATATATAAATACAGTTGAAGTCAGAATTGTTAGCCCCCCTAAATTATTAGCCACCGTGTTTATTTTTTCCCCAATTTCTGTTTAACGGAGAGTTAAACATTTTTTTTCCACACATTTCTAAACATATTAGTTTTAGTAACTCATTTCTAATAACTGATTTATTTTATCTTTGCCATAATGACAGTAAATAATATTTGACTAGATATTTTTAAGACACTTCTATACAGCTTAAAGTGACATTTAAAGGCTTAACTAGGTTAATCAAGTTAACTAGTCAAGTTAAGGTAATTAGGCAAGTTATTTTATAACAATGGCTTGTTCTGAAGACTTAAGGGGCTAATAATTTTGACCTTAAAATGGTTCATAAAAAAAATTAAACCGCTTTTTATTCTAGCCGAAATAAAACATAAGTCTTTCTCCAAAAGAAAAAATATTATCAGACATACTGTAGAAATATTTAAAAAAGAAGAAATAAATCAATGAGGGGCTAATAATTCAGACTTCAACTGTGTGTAGATAGACAGACAGACAGACAGACAGACAGACAGACAGACAGACAGACAGACAGACAGACAGACAGACAGACAGACAGACAGATAGATAGATAGATAGATAGATAGATAGATAGATAGATAGATAGATAGATAGATAGATAGATAGATAGATAGATAGATAGATAGATAGATAGATAGATAATAACAAGAACTGCTGCTTAATTGAATGCATGTAATAGCGACACCCGGTGGTTATTTATTGAATTACGTTCATTTTTGTATAGCGGGCCAGATTCTATTGATATTTATAAAAAGCCTCGCGGGCCGTAGTTTGGACACGCCTGGTGTACTGGAATGTACAGTATCTGTGCATCTTGATGGTGGTCTTAAGATTTCTGCCATAGTCATTGATGGTGATGATACTTGTGGTGCTGCATTGATTTCTGAAATCTTCATACCTGCCTTTTATCCAGCCTCTTTGTTCCAAGTAATTTTTCTTCATCATGGTATAGATGTGTCTATACTGTCCCTTAATCAGATACATTTACAAAACAAAACATCACTTTAGTATAGTGCCAGGGCAAAACTCACAGGTTGTAATAGATCAATGACAATGTTGACAGTATGTGTTTAAAATAATTGCAAACAAACCTGTTCTGTCTTTAGATGTATGACAGGCGATCATCATCCTCATCTGTCTGCCAGTCAGAAATCACAGTTGCGTGTGGATGTTTGAGTCGAGCTTCCTCATATGCATCTATAATAAAACATCACATTGTTGTTAACCTCCCGTAAAGAAAAGTTCAAATCCTGAAATACTATCAAAGTTAATTAATGCATATAATACCTATAGTGTAAATAATCAGTACACTGAAGGTTGCACAAGATTTATTCGGAGATTCATGCAGAGTGACAGCCTTATGAATCTGAGACATAGATTTGTAAGATGGTCAAGCACATGCATTATTCTGTACCCATGAAGATTAACCTACCATTGTGAAAAATGTTTAATGATGATGATAGCCAATAACAATAAACCATTTCAGCTGTTTGTGAAGCAATTAGTAATGTAACGTCTGAAAAGCTCAATCTATGTTGAAAATGTATCAGCAGTTTACAGCTTATAATGGACTTTTAGCACACAACTATAACATGCCTATTCACGTTCAAAAGAGTGTGCCATTGACTTCTTTGGTCGTGATGTGCTGCAAAATGATCTCACTAACCTTTGTTAAACAAGAACAATAAGACTTAACCTACAAATATTGTTACCCATTCATTTAAATCAGAATTTATCACTGTCAATAACATAAAAAAAACATCAAAATCTGCTTTAAGACGTTCAGTTTTACATTAACTGACCATTACAGCTTGAACAAAAGATATAATTGATTCACATAGGCTAACACATATGAATTAAAGTGCATAGTAATATATTTCTCTTGGATAATTTAAAGAGATTAGTAAACAGTCGAGTTTCGATCATTTTTCGTGACTAACTGCATAAACAAGATAAACAATAATATTTTATTAATCCAAAACGATTAGTTTTTATTTACACATAATCACAGAATTAATACTGTTGGATAAGTATACGCCTGTACAATGATTTTTTTCAACATCCACGGTACTTTATAATGTTAAATCAGGAAAAAACACGTTTTGCCAAGTTAGTTAATGGATTCGTCTACAGAAACTTTCTTTAACGCAAAGTTAGCATACACACAAACTCGTTTCATGTTTCTTTGAAATAATTAAAACAGTTTTCAGTTACTACACACGTTACAATCTAACATTGTGTAAAAGGAAAAGGAACTTTCAGACGTGTTTGTAACTGTTAGCGTTAGCATACATTAGCTCCAGTCGTGTTTCTTAAAGCAAGTTAAATTTCGTATCAAACTGTTTTAAATTACTAAACGCTGTTACAACCAAACACCGTGGAAATGTTTTAAGCTCTAAATTCGCTAATTATACAGAACACAAGCAGTAAAAAGCTTACCTTTCTGACCGGACTCCACGTGAAACTTTGAAAAACCAAACTTTTTCTTCTTGTGATCTTCGTGCCATGGTGGTTGACAACCAGCTTTTTGGAGCATTACCGCCACCGTCTGGATTGGAGTTTGGATCATGAGTTAGTAACGCATGTGTTTATTATGAAACCAACTTCTGCTTTAAAAAAAAAACAGTCAGCACAGGAGCGTGCTATCTCAAAAATAAGCGAATTTTACATAGTTTTTCTCTAGATGACATGTATAATCTATTTATAAATAATATTGTTTTGTTTGCGTCTAAACATTGCGACCATCCACACTAAATATTCTTTTTTTTTTTTTTTTTTTGCTATCGTACCATGAATATTTTCTCAAATTATCATTAAACGTGGAGCTAAAAGATTACTAGATAAAATAAGAAATTAATCGGTTGCCATCAGCCGAGTCCTTGCCAGAAGCGGCCAGGATATGGTTGACCGGAATCGGGCCAGTGCTTTACAGCCGCATCACAACCGCATGTGCGCGAGCGAGCTGCGGGCCGCACTCGGCCCGGATAACACTCGCCGATGCCGAGTCGGAGCCGGAGGCGCCGGGGGGCAGCCGAGCTCGGGCCGATTACTGCCTGCTATCTGGGGTGACTCAAGATTGAAAGATATTACTTCTACAAGTAACTTTACCCCATGCTCTTTACAGGATTATTACACTGAAGCTATTTTGAAATTAATATTAAATCTATACAGTTGAAGTCACTCCTGCAAACTGATACAAGAGGTAATTAAACAAAGCTTTTAATAATACATATTTACACATACAGAAATATATTTACACATACATTAAAAAAGAAAAAGTGAGAGAATTGTGAACCTAAGAGGAAAAAATAACAGAGAAAACAGTTGGCTATGGTTTAGTTATAGCTCAGAGTATTCTGTCAGTTTCATGCAACATGAGTTTTCCTTCTCTCTTCTGATATTCAGTGCAGAACTCCTATTAGTAAAACAAATTGGTTCAAACGTTTATCTATGCCCTTTACTGTAACATTTTTAATTCTGTGTTTTATTTTTATTTTATGTGGGATTTGTTTGTATGGTGCAACCAAATTGCCATTGGGAAATGAATAAAGTAGGGCGGCATGGTGGCTCAGTGGTTAGCTCTGTCACCTCACAGCAAGAAGGTCATGGGTTCAAGTCCATACTGGCCCTGTTGGCATTTCTGTGTAGAGTTTGTATGTTCTCCCTGGGTTGGTGTAAGTTTCCTCCGGGTGCTCCAGTTTCCCCCACAGTCTAAACACATGCACTATAGGGGAATTGGATTAACTAAATTGGCCATAGTGTGAGTGTGTGTGAATGTGAGAGTGTATGGATGTTTCTCAGTACTGGGTTGCGGCTGGAAGGACATACGCTGCGTAAAACATATGCTGGAATAGTTGAAGGTTCATTTCACTGTCGTGACCAGTGATAAAGGGACTAAGCCGAAGGAAAACTAATAAATAAATGAAATGATAAAGACTAACTAACTACACAAGTCAAGTCAAAACAACCATATTTACAGAGGAGCATTTAGTAAACATTGGATTGAATGTTAATTCCTGACTATTTAGTTTATTAAATTGGGTCTTAAATTATAGAGTAAATTTAGCTTCTAACAAATTCCAAGTATGGGTTATCATACTTGGCCACGTTATGCCCTTTCTTTCCTTTCCTAATACGGTATATGCAGTAACCTGGGTTAAGCGCTTCCGGTGAGCTGTATACCATTGCAAAATTAGTGTGTTTAAGGTGTTTTCTTTAAAAATCTGCGATCTCCACTGGCTGAGTGATATCCGATATAAAGTGAGTCTCAGATTGTACAAGAAGCACTGCAATAATTTATATGTTCAGCGCCATGTCTTTAAAATATGAACATTTATTTTACCCCAGTATATACAATGGAGCATCTGCGCTAGCCTGCCGATTCTGACAGGCACAGGCGAGTAAAACGGCTTTTTGTCTCGTTTTACGCTTGAACAACTAAATAAATGCCAAAAGTCTATTTAACTGAATGTATTTTAATGACATTACAACATTGATGCTGTAAAAGGAATCATATAAAATGGAAAAAAAACTCACAATAACAGGTCACCAGAAGTTTATCAGTATGAGAACAACACTAGCTCGGCATATACCCTATTAAAAATAAAACAGACCCTCACCGCATACAAAACAAAAAAAGTGATGTGACGTCACACACAACAGTCTCATCACCGTGAGCACCTGCTTCGAATGTTATCACTCGATTGAACATTAAACGTATAGATAGATGATAGCAGTCTTCTGAGCCTACTAGTAGGTGCAGAAGGCCCCTACTGGCCCATATCTATCAGCTGATAATGCCTATTCAATCGAGTGATAATTTGAATCGGCTGCTGTATGTCTGTGTCTTCAGTGTGTGTTGACTGTGTGTCTGCGACGCCTCTTCTTATTCACCATCAGCAGATCCTGAGCAAACTAAACACTGAGAATCCTGCAATAAAACACACACAGTCACATATGAGACATTACTGATGTCACATTACACCAATATATAGAATATATCAGTATTTTAACAACACAGAGAGACTTTTTAAAGTAATTAATCAATAAGAGTAAATATGAACATGCCGAATAAAAATATACTCACAGTAGTTTAATTCTTTTAGTTTATAATGTGTATCATCCTTCAGATCAGAGAGTAACTTCACATCTGATTCTCCTAGTTTATTTTTAGACAGGTTCAGTTCTCTCAGGTGTTCAGGGTTTGATCGCAGAGCTGAAGCCAAAGCAGCACAAGCTTCATCTGTGAGACCACAATTACTCAACCTGTGGAAAACATGGATGCCATGTGAATTTTAGTTCAGGTGTTTGTAGTTTGTTACTTATATAGCAGGAGAGGATATATAAGGGGAGGCATTGTCACACACTCCTTTAGACAGCATGAGATTAATGCATGTTGATGCTTAATGTGCTGTCTGAAACGGTCATTTGCTTCAGAATGGAACAGAGCAGTGGTGTAGTCCTAAAACAACAGTGGTGTACTATTACCCAGCCAACCCAAATTGTAAAGAAAAGTAGGCAAAGCAACGACGAATGTCAATTTTTCTTTGATTCAGTAGCAATATATATTAGTTTAACGTCTGTTACCTGTAACTATTGACTTCAGAAGGAAAAAAAATACTATGGAGGTCAATGGTTACAGGTTTCAGCTTTCTTCAAAATATATTTTGTGTTCAACAGAATAAAAAAGACAAACCGGTTTGCAAAAAGTAAAGGATGAGCTGAGTAAATGATGACAATTTTCTTTTTTTGGTTAAAATCTTTATTTAAAAAGGAAAAATATTGAAATAAATTTGTTAATTTAAAGTGGGATGATAATAGTGTAATCCTATTCAATGATTTATGTTTGGCTGATAGTGACCCCAGCGGACACAAAGATTAGCTGAGTACATTAAGCGGTGGTAAACCCAACTGCTTAATTCTATAGGGACTTGTAAATTGAGCCTATTTCCAAAAAAATAAACATGTATTTATTTTATTACAGTATAAAATCATGTTTAGAGACAGCTATATCAAGTCTTATAATGTTTTTACAGTATGTCGCCTTTTTAATAATTTTAATATAGAGAAAGGAATCAAGTTAGCAACAATTTAGTTAACTTTTTAATGCATTTATTTGTGATTATTTTCCAAAGATTTAACAAAGCATTTTGTACATACAAGGTTGTATTTTATTTTCCTTTTTTGACCCTTGCCGCCAAAATCAGTTAACAAACAAGTAAAATTATAATATAATTACAACAGAAATAGAAACAAATATAGCAAAATGAAAAAAGTTAACTCAAAAGGGTCTGTGCATAAATAGAAAGACAGCTCTTTACTGGCTTATTACTTTACATTCAATATGCTAATCTAAACATCTATCAGCTATTATGTTTGACTGTCACATTCGTGCATGCTTGTTTTAAACAATGCTTCAATTAAACAATGATTCAGTTTTAAACATGCTTCAATTTAAAATGGTAATATAGTGTCATTCCCAGTAGTGGTGGCCATGATTAGGACAAATATCAAATACTGTTTTATAGGGCTGATTTTAGGATTTTCATTTTAGGGAAACTCAGCTCCTTATGAGGTAAACAAAGTAAAATATGTATGAATATATATTAATATAAGACAATATAATATTCATACACATACAAGTGTATCTATAGCAAAGAACTGCAAATATGCAGATATTATAACAATCTATCAATAAACACACACCTTGTCCTCTCGCTCTGCTGTGATTTGCTGATTAAATGAAAAACGAGTTGAAAATGGAGCAGCAGAAGTCTGCCGCCATTTTCATATCAAACTGAAAGAGGGCTGAGGTGGTTATTTCATAGGGTACAGTTTATGAGGTAATCGCAAAACTTTTAGGGAGGATGAATAGAAATAAAGGGGGTCTAAAGTGATGCCCATGCTGTTTACCTGAATGTTTCAGCGAGACATCATTCAGTTGACTTGTCAAATTTTCTCACAGTTACTGCGGTCATCAGGGGGCAGGGCATTGTGCAAGTTTAACAAAAATGAACTAATTGCAACAAATTAAAATGTAAGTTAAAAAAAACATTTGTTATACATTTAAAGAGGACGCAAATACACGTAAATTAGGGAAGTCTAATCAGAAAAACAAGCAAGTTTACAGAGGGTATACGCAATTATTGATCCTCAAAAGTCAAAAAACCCAAACAGCTTCTGGAAAAAAGTAGACATACGAAGTATAAGTGCGTATAGCCCCGACTACACCACTGGAACAGACTTAAATTAAAGGTGGATGTAAACTTTCATTACTACTTTTATTATAAAGGTTACTTTGTCATTTAAAAGAGGGATCTGAAAGCCCTGTCACCTTTACTACTCTAAAGCTGCAACAATACCAGGGTTGATCTTACCACAGTTTCTCCAGTTTACAACGAGGATCCTCCAGTACAGCAGAGAGAAGTTTTATGCCTGAATCTCTTAATTTATTTACAGAGAGATCCAGTTCTCTCAGGTGTTCAGGGTTTGATCTCAGAGCTGAAGCCAAAGCAACACAACCTTCATCTGTAAGACTACAATCATACAACCTGTAGAGAACAATGACACACTCTTCACTCTCTCAGAGAAGATCAGATAAAATCAGCAGTAAATCTATTTTCATGCAAATTGAGTTTTTCATTCATTCATTCAATAATTTTCCTTTGGCTTAGTCCCTTTATTAATCATGGGTTGCCACAACGGAATGAACCACCAACTTATCAACCATGTTTTACACAGCGGATGCCCTTCCAACTGCAACCCAGTACTGAGAAACACCCATACACACTTATTTACACACATACACTACAGCAAACTTAGTTCATTCAATTCACCAATAGCACATGTGTTTGGACTGTGGGGGAAACCAGAGAACCCAGAGGAAACCCACACCAACACAGGGAGAACAAGCAAACTCCACTAAGAAATCTCAACAGAAAGACACTCAACACTTCACCTACAGTATACTTTACAATTAATTATATCTGTAAAAATGATCTCACCCCAGTTTATCCAGTTTACAGTGAGGATCCTCCAGTACAGCACAGAGCTGCATGACACCAGAATTTTTAAGTTTATTTTCAGACAGATCCAGGACTCGCAGTTGTCCAGGGTTTGATCTCAGAGCTGAAGCCAAAGCAGCACAACCTTCATCTGTGAGACCACAATCACTCAACCTGTAGAGAACATTGACACAATGTGAATTTTAGTTCCTCTTTCTGTTCTCTGGTTTCAAAGCGGCAGAGGAGATATAAAGACAAGCACTGCCACACACAACTTCTGACAGAGAGAAATGTATGGATGTTGATCAGTGGTGCTGTTTGAAAGTACGGTCACATCTAAACAGACACAAAGTTGACGGTCCTCCAGCTGAGGATGTCTGACAGGAAAGTCACAGGGAAGCTGAAAGAGAATATCTAATGTAATTCACTGTTCTCAAGGTCTGTCCAAATCTCATTGCATAGCCACTAGTTTGTCCCCGATGTTTTCCAATTTGCAGTCCACACAGTCTGATTGTTAATTACTGAGCTCTGCTCACCACCATTTTAATCCAGCTGGCCAGCTTGGTGGGGTTTTGAGTCGTACTGACCACTTTTATCAATCATCAATACCCCAGGACTCTGCCTTAGCCCATCAGCAGACACTCTGTTATCAAAGTTAAAATCAGAGTGCTGGTGTCCATGTAAACATACTCACTGAAAGTGCCAGATGATGTCACAAGCTGTCAAAGACAGTCCATTCCTCACCTTTAAGTTGATTCCATCAGCCCTCACATTTCATAAGTTTGACGTTTTTTTCCCTTACACACAACTTTTATAAAGCATCTGCTGCATGTTGGTGTGTCAGAATCCTTGCTTGTAAAATATAGTCATACTATAGAATGCTTAGTTTAAGCAAATTAGATGAACGTGATCATGCGTGCTGATGAAGTGTGTCGCTCACCGCATGCGCTGTACTGCGTGCTTTGCATTCTATGAGCAACAAGAACAAACGCCTGACATCGTTGACATCCATATCCCTCAAAGCTGTTTAGAATTAAACATTTAGAGATGGTGTGACACAACACGTACTTACGTGTGCATTTGATGCACCCCTTAATGCTTCTTAAGAGCGTCACACACCGGATGCGCCACTCACAGCCGCGGCATGGCGCGCACATGACAGTTGATAGTATCACACACCAGACGTGCACATTCACATGTTATTTAAAATGAAACTATTTAGATGGCGCTCTGTGGAGTGGCAGAAATATGAATGGTGTCCTGAGTCATGGCTGGGTGCCGCGGAGAACAGATGACTTGCAAATTCTAAAATACATGGTGCTGTTTGGCACCGGAATTGGGCATCGAAATTCATATGCTGATTTGGTTAGGTGGATACCGGTTCCAAAGATACCGGTGCCATTGTTTCGGTACCCAAACCTAATCATGCATCCAGTGGCAAACATTCCTGCAGGACAGTTGGGTTCCCCCGAACCCAGACTTCTTGTTGAGAACATGGTGTCAATTGCATTCAGAGACCAGTTGATTAAATTTATAAATCCTTATTTGTTTTGTAAACAGGAAAAAAAAAACCCAGAGATAGAAAAAGACAAGACAAGAGAGGCCAGCCAGAAGAGATAAAGGGAGAGGGAGGAAAAAGTGCAACCACCTTCACCGAGAGCCAAAGAAGAATAGAATAGTACCAACTAGAATAGTGATAGAATAGTGCCAATCAATAAACAGATTTCTTCGTTACAGGCTTGAAAACAACTGTAAATTCTCTTGCAAAAAAAAAAAAAAAAGCAGGTCATGTTACATTTTGCTGTGAATTTATGTTGTTTGGTAAATCTTGCTGGACACAGATTTTAATCCTAAAATTTAATCTCAAAGGACGTGATGTACTTGACGACTTTTATAGTTGATCTTACCTTAGTTTCTGTTTATCGTCTTTTTTTAATTTTATTTTTATATTGTTTTGTCACTTGTCACTTTATGTACACTGGAAGCTTCTGTAGCCAAAACAAGTTCCTTGTGTGTGTGAAGCACAGTTGGCAATAAAACTGATTCTGATCTTACCACAGTATCTTCAGTTTACAGTGAGGATCCTCCAGTACAGCAGAGAGAAGAGTCACTGAATCTCCTAGTTTATTCCCAGACAGATCCAGATCTCTCAGGTGTTCAGGGTTTGATCTCAGAGCTGAAGCCAAAACAGCACAACTTTTACCTGTGATGCCACATTTACTCAACCTATAGAACAATGAGAATGACATTATTTTATCGGAATTGCAACAGTTATTAAAGGAAAACATTATTGCTTTAATTCATCCTAAAAGTGTTCAGTAGAGTTGAAATCAGGTCTCTGTGCAGGCCAGTCAGTTTTCTCCACACCAAACTCCCTTTTAGTAAATATTTTTCGGCTGATCATGATATATTTATAGTGAGGAAATATCCCAAATAAAAACTGCAACCTATCATGGTACCTCATCTGAATTTACTGAGCTCCTGAGAGTGACCCTTTCTTTCAGTCAAGCATTCTGCTTGCCTAGATGCTTGATTTTATACACCTGTGAAGTGAATATCTGATTTTAATGGTTTAGAGAGGGTCTTTTGGCAATATTATGGTACATACAGATGCTGGTCGTATAATTAGAATATTTTAAGATCTTTAAAAAGTTGATTTCACTAATTCCTTTAAAGAAGAGAAACTTGTATAATGTGTACATTCATTCCACACAGACTGATTTCAAGTGTTTATTTCTTTTAATTTTGATGATTCTCCAGCCTCCGGCACATAGACTGCAGCTCTGCACAAGAAGTTAAAGGAGAAGAAATGGTCATGCCCAACTGAGCCTGCTTTCTCTCAGGGTTTTCTCCTTCACTTTTGTCAATTGGTGAAGTTTGTTCCTTGCCCTTGGCTTGCTTGGTTTGGGACATAAGGAACTTTGCGGAGCTTTACTGATGTTATTAGCAGGGGTGCACACAGATTTTTGACTAACTGCATCTCTTTAATGTTTATCGTCTTTTTTTTTTATTTTATTTTAATTTTGTGTTGTCACTTGTCACTTTATGTACACTGGAAGCTTCTGTAGCCAAAACAAGTTCCTTGTGTGTGTAAAGCACAGTTGGCAATAAAACTGATTCTGATCTTACCACAGTGTCTCCAGTTTACAGCGAGGATCCTCCAGTACAGCAGAGAGAAGAGTCACTGAATCTCTTAGATTATTCCAGGACAGATTCAGTTCTCTCAGGTGTTCAGGGTTTGATCTCAGAGCTGTAGCCAAAGCAGCACAACCTTCATCGGTGAGACCACAATCACTCAACCTGTAGAGAACAATGACACACTCTTCACTTCACACTCTTCAAATTACAACAGTTTAATAGAGAATCCATTATTTAAGAGAAGAGAAGGTTTGGGTCTGATTTAATTTAAGACATTAATCACTATATATAATATGTATAGGAGTTGATCTTACCACAGTTTCTCCAGTTTAGAGCAAGGATCCTCCAGTACAGCAGAGAGAAGAGTCACTGAATTTCCTAGTATATTCCTAGACAGATTTAATACTCTTAGGTCTGAAGGGTTTGATCTCAGAGCTGAAGTCAAATTATCCCAATCCATTTCTGTAAGACCACAATTATACAACCTGTGTAGACATTAAATTATACTTAATAAAAATGATCAAATAACACTGAAAAAATACAAGCACCTTGCTGTGATAAACAACAACTTGTAATACCAATATACAGTACTATACATTTTCATGACATAAAAACCACACGTCATGTATTACTTAACGTAAAGATTATTCAGGTTTCAGTTCAGTTTCCTTTATTTATGTCATTCAACTCATCACAATAGAATTGTAATGCAGAACGAAATTACGTTGCAACAGACCCAACAAGAACATAAAAAAAACATCACTATAAAAACACTATAAAATCCTAACATGATAAATAAGCTTTTATAATTCCATAAAATATAAAAAATATAATTATATAAGATATAGATAGTATATTAGTGGTCCAACTTGCACACAATATATAAAAACTGAATGAGATCATTATTCAATTATTAATTCAGCAAAATTGGCAAATAAGTGTACTAAAATAAACATTAAATATGTCAAACATGTTCAAAACTAATCGTAATGTTGGACTGTGAAATGGCAGACAGTTCATTTCTTTTAATGTAAGTTTGAGTCCAGCTCCCTGATCCCTTCATTGTCTGATAGGCACAATGTTTTAGTTGATATCAAATGTTGCACATATGAGCTGATTCTCAACATGTTTTGTTAATCTTAAAATTCTTGTTTTTCAGTGAATTTTAAAAACCTAACCTGATTTATTTATTCATTTAAAGATTTATTTTGATAAGATTTTAATTTAGATTTTCTTAATTTTTTTTTAGTATTAAGTCAGTATTATTAGTGATACTTACAGAACTGATCTCGATTGCTTTATTACAGGAAGCAGCTTCTGAAAAACCTTCTGTTTTTTGTTTTCATTGTTTCCTGCAACAAATTCATTAATATTAAACTCCTCCAGCTTCTTCTCTGATGTCAACAACACAAAAGCTACAGCTGACCACTGAGATGAGGAGAGTTTGGCTCTGTTTATTCTTCCAGATTTCAGATACTGCTGTATTTCCTTCACTAGTGAATGATCACCCAGTTCATTCAGACAGTGAAACAGATTGATGGATTTCTCTGGAGAGTCGATGGTCCAGATCTTCATCTTGATGTACTTGACTGTTTTATTAGTCTGCATTGACCTGCTTTTCAGTTTCATTAGTCTTTGTAGGAGAATCTGATGAGACTCCACTGACAGACCCAAAAGAAACCGCAGGAAAAGATCCAGATGTCCATTTTTACTCTGTAGAGCCTCATTTACAGCTCGCTGATGCAGACTGAATAATGAAACACATTCTAAAGAATTGAGCTGAAACAAGTCTTTAACTTTAAACCACAAACTCTGTTTTTTGATTTGCTCAAACTCATCTCTGTTGTTGTTTATACAGGAGAGGTGCACATATAGAGCCGCTAGATGTTCCTGAATGCTCAGATGAACAAAGCTGAAGACTTTCCCCTGATACAAGCCAAACTCCTCTCTGAAGATCTGAGTGCACAATCCTGAGTAAACTGAAGCTTCTGCCACATCAATGCCACACTCTCTCAGGTCTTCCTCATAGAAGATTATATTGCCTTTCATGAGCTGCTGAAAAGCCACTTTCCCCAGTTTGAGGATCATGTCTTCATCTGTCAGCTTCTCCTCATAGTCCTTCTGATGTTTGATGTTGGTCTGCAGGATCAGGAAGTGTGTGTACATCTGAGTGAGAGTCTTGGGAATCTCTGCAGTCTCTGCTTCACTCAACATCTTCTCCAGAACAGTGGCTGAGATCCAGCAGAACATTGGGATGTGGCACATGATGTAGAGGCTCCTGGAGGACTTCAGGTGTGAGATGATTGTATTGGCCAGACTCTGATCACTGATTCTCTTGCTGAAGTATTCCTCCTTCTGAGGGTCATTGAAGCCTCGTACCTCTGTCACTCGATGGACACACTCAGAGGGGACGAGATCTGCTGCTGCTGGTCTGGAGGTGATCCAGATGAGAGCAGAGGGAAGCAGATTCCCCACAATCAGGTTGGTCAGCAGCACGTCCACTGAGGCGGATTCACTGATGTCACACAACCTCACAGCGCTCTCAAAATCCAGAGACAGACGACACTCGTCCAGACCATCAAAGATGAACAGCACTTTATATTTGTCACTGGATATTTCCATTTCTTTAGTTTGAGGGAAAAAGAGCTGAAGAAGATCTGACAGACTGAGTGTTTTGTCCTTCATCAGATTGATCTCTCTGAAAGGAAGTGGAAATATGAGCTGGACGTCCTGATTCTCCTTCTCTTCAGCCCAGTCCAGGATGAACTTCTGCACAGAGACTGTTTTTCCGATGCCAGCGACTCCCTTCGTCAGCACAGTTCTGATGGCTTTGTCTTGTCCAGGTAAAGGTGTAAAGATGTCTCTGCATTTGATCGCTGTGTCCTCTGTTGTTGATCTCCTGGATTGTGTCTCAATCTGTCTCACCTCATGCTCATGACTGATCTCTCCACTCTCACTCTCTGTGATGTAGAGCTCTGTGTAGATCTCATTCAGGAGTGTTGGGTTTCCCTGCGCCGCTGTTCCCTCATACAGACACTCAAACTTCTTCAGCAGATTTGATCTAAATGTGTTCAGCAGGTTTTGTCTGGAAAATACCAAATTATAACATGAGTTAATAAGCATAATGACTTTTTATTTCCTTAATTAAATCATTTACAGAAATAGTTTACCTGATATTACACTGTGCTTCTACATTCTTAATATTTATTGGATGATTTATAAACATGTCACTCCTCATAGACACACGGCTGAACTCTGCTTCTGTTCTCTTGTGATGAAATGAACTACATCAAATACAAATAAGCAAAGTACAGTTATTTTACCTTAAATTGCCATTTTCACAGAATTTAAGCTTAATTATAGACAGAATTTACTGTTCTCACATTGTGCTGGGACTGGGAATGCAATTCTAGAAAAAATAAATCTTAAGATAACCACAAGTTTGTTCTTGAGAACCTCTGTATTTATTCATTAAAATAATCAAGTACCACAAATATCTACAACAAATTCATTACAGCTGCATTTTAATGGTTTAACTTTATTATCCTGTTTAAAAAGTAGCAGACACATCCCGGTCGAGCTCTTGTATGTAAACACTAACCATCAAAAGATAATTTACTCACAGGAAAGAGGAAACTATTTAGACAAGGATGACAAGGAAAGAAACAAAAACTTAACAAGACAAATCCTGGAAGTTTTTGTTGAAAAAATTTGAGCAATGAAGAAAAGACTCCTTGTATGAAGATTTTAACTTTGTATACCAAACAGTAAACTGAGCATTTTACAAACAGTATCCTCATCTGAGCAACACTAGTTAAAATATTAGAGAACAATAAAAATATAGAGATACTATAATATACAACTAAAACACTGTAGCATTAAAGTTTCTACAGTATCTTCAGTAGAAATCTTATACCTGAGATCAGTCGGTGTATCTTCACTCCTAAAATTATATGGAAGATCCATAGACCAGTCACTCCTCATAGACACACAGCTGGGCTCTGGATCTGATCTCTTCTGATAAACTGAACTATAACTGAAAATAACAGATAAAGTTATCTTAATCACTTTAATATTTAAATAAAGTTAATAAAGTTTTTAAAATAGCACTTTTTATCAAAGAGTAAACTATACAGAATCTGGCCTACATTTTTTACATTAACTTCACAGCAGTTTGCTTTCCTCTCCATTACTTGTGTAATTAAACTCAAAGTACCTGCATCCTGGAGAAACATTTTCATCTCTGGATATTTGTGTGTCGTCCATTATGAAACAGAACCTGATCTGCGCCACTGATTGGACAGAAAGAACAAAGAAACAATAATTCAGCTGTTCGAGTACCGAGAGTCAATAATGAACAGAAAATAAACCAGGTTAAATTACTTTTAAATGAACAATTTTACAAACACATCATCGAGGAATCACGCCTAAACATAATCCACAGGACTAACACACGGCCTCAGAGCAAACTGCATTTCCTGCAGACGAACAAGCTCCACTCTTGATGAGAGCAGGCTAACTCAACAAGTGTTCAGGTTTAAAAAGGTTTATGTTAAACACTTTTATAAACATATCAAACACATTTAAATCATATTTACATTTTAGGCCAGCAGTCTGGTGAAAGAGGTGGTTATTTTTTCCTAATAAGTGGACCTTTTTGCAGCTATTCACCTCATTTTCTATTTAATTAAGGGGTTTAAATCCTGAATTTTAGTGACATTTTAAGCACTATCTTTAGCTGGATTAGCTTGTTTGATGGTCATCATAACCACACTTTTTGATGTGTCAAAAACATTTCCAAGAAATATGAGTACAATACTTTTTTAAATACAAAAGTATTGAATCATATATTATTAGAAAAAATAGGAATCTGTTAAAGTTTAAAATTGAACTAGCCTATTGTCCTTATTAGGCAAATAACAAAATGGCCAGCACACATACAAGATTCCGCTTGGTCTTAAAGCATTATTCAATGGGGTTATTTTTTTTTTTTTTACAATTTATTATGGCAAAGCCGTAAAAATAGTACAAATGAGCTTATGTATGAAACAAATTCTGGACTTTTGTCAGTGAGATGTTGGTCTTTCGAACCACTCGAACCCCTCCTGGCTACGGGTTAGCATTCTTTAAAAAAACATGAAGTCGCAATTTCCTGTTTCACTCACCTCCATTAACCATAAACTGTAGATGTGCGTTAAGACTGAGCTGATGGTTATAATCCTTTTAACTAGTCCAGTTCACCTAGTTTTTCAGTAGCTACATGTAAACTCCTGGTTTGTTTGTTTTTAAACTGTTCTTATGAACTATTGTGATGCTCCATAATGAAAACTAACGGAACGACTCGACGGAAAACTTTGCTTTCACTTTGCACTTGTGACGTAGGGAGGGTGACGTCACATGATGCACAGTGGTAATGTCCACCAGGTGGAGCCATATTCTTTTCTAAAACAGATCTTACCGTAAAAACATTACATTTAATGTAAAAAAAATTGTTTTTAAATAATATTTAATCAACATCCTGTGACCTGAAATGGGATACATGATTTTGGAAAACAGATAAGTGGATATTACCATGTCATTTGACCCAGACATGTCAAAGAAAGCTTTTGGTTGAGGAATCTCTTTCTTTTTCTGAGTGTGTCAGTCTGTATCTCTCTCTTCTCTGCGCGCGACAGAGCATCTAACCATAATCTTTGATGGACTCTCGCTGATTCTGCAGTTTATTCAGGGATTTAATCGCATATAGGTGTACGATAACAGCTTTCAACATGTATTTGCACATATCAACAAAATATAATTGATTTAGGACAAAACACAATAAACCGAATAAATCAACGGGGAAAATGTAATTAATCTGACAGCTAATTAAACTTGAGCTTCATAACAGGACCATGAACAGGCTGTCAATTCATCCTTTTGGTCTCAAAAGTTTTGAAAACACAATTTCTGATCGCAGACCGTTTTGGGCAACTAAATGTGTTAGTTACTATTTAAAGAAAGTAATGTGAAAGTGTTATTTTTGTGCTTTTATTTTCCTTTTTTAAAAAAAAAAAAAAAAGAAAGAGTAAGAAAGTCTTCAAATTGTAACATATTACCTTTTTTCACTGACTGCAGATCATGTTTACTTCACAATTGGGCAACTGCTTTAGTTCTCGTAGTTGTTTTAGGATTAAATGCTGAATGTCAGATTTAATCAACTAATGAAAGTTCACACAGGATGCTGAGCCAGTTTCTGTAATACATTAAATGTTTGTTTGTTTTTTCACAATAAGACTCATGTGATAGCAGGACAAAATACCTTAAAATGCATTAAAATAAAACACCAAATACTTCAGCTTTAAGTGTATCAAAATAAACTACAAAATACAGCAGCGACAACATGCATCAAAATCAAATAGTTTTTATTTTTAAAATACTACAAAATACTTTTAAAAAGGCCCTGACATTCCTTCTCAAACCTTACCCACCAGCAGGCCTATTCGATCAATCCCTTCACCACTAAAATGACTCCGTGAAGTAAACAATGTCTGATAGTAACGGCTTTCATAAGGATAAAACCATGACAAGTCACTTCACTTCATCTCTACTCCTACGATGCAGTGGGGCAGTAGGTAGTGCTGTCACCTCACAGCAAGAATGTTGCTGGTTTGAGCCTCGGCTGGATCAGTTGGTGTTTTTGTGTGGAGTTTGCATGTTCTCCCTGCATTCACGTGAATTTCCTCCGGGTGCTTCAGTTTCCCCCACAGTCCAAAGACATGCGGTACAGGTGAATTGGGTACACTAAACTGTACATAGTGTGTGTGTGTGTGTGTGTGTGGATGTTTTCCAGAGATGGGTTGTGGCTGAAAGGGCATCCACTGCGTAAAAACTTACTGGATAAGTTGGCGGTTCATTCCGCTGTGGTGACCCCGGATTAATAAAGGGACTAAGCCGAAAAGAAAATAAATAAATGAATGAATAAATGCTCAGTGAAATAATTTGCTTTCTCTTTGTCGACCTCTGCTGACGGACACATTTCTGTTGCACATCTCTTCTGTAGTTAAAATCTGGACTTTCTCTGAGTAAACCTTGAAAAACAAAGTTTATACTAAAAACAAAGAGTAATTTTACCAAATGAATCTTATTTTCCAACATAACAAAGCTGTCTGTACTGCACAACACATTTCATATTTACATATTTACATTTATTATCAAAGGCTTGCTGATAAAAACGAATGCGTTTTAGTGTTGACATATTCAAATCCTCTTTTCTATACACTATAATCAGTATCAGAAGAAATAATGGAGTAATATACATTTTCCTGGTTATTACCAATTAAAACAAAACAGTGAAGTCAGTGTTAGTCTGTGTGTCTTCAGTGTGTGTTGATTGTGTGTCTGTGATGTTTCTCCTTATTCACCATCAGCAGATTTTGAGCAAACTAAACACTGAGAATCCTGCAATAAAACACACACACACACACACACACACACAAACACACACACACACACACACACACACACACACACACACACACACACACACACACACACACACACACACACACACACACACACACACACACACACACACACAAACACACACACACACACACACACACACACACACACACAAACACAAACACACACACACACACACACACACACACACACACACACACACACACACACTTGTTTTTTTGGTTGATACTCTGTATCATTTTGAAGCATTCCATTGTCTTGCCTTGTCCTGTTTTCTGACCCTCTCCTTGTTAATTGTTTTATGTTGTTTGCCACCTGAAATGATCTCTTTGCCTGTGACTCTGTGAAATCTTTTGGATAACCTGCATGCTCCTATGTTGACCATTGCCTGCCTGACCATTGTCTGCTGAATAAAATATTGCACATGGATCGTCAACTTTGTTGTCAGCGTCCTAAAGTTACATACATGCAATTCTATAATAAAATCTTGATTTAATCTCAAATTTGTTTTTAAGAATATTTTCCTGATGAAACGTCCAACCCTGTCATAATTTTAGCCTCTTGACTGATTTCTGAACATTATTCATCAGAATATGCTGATACTGGGACCTTTAACTCTGACAAGGTTTCTAGAACCTGTGCCTGCTACACATATGAATGATGAGCAGAATATATTTTACAGTAAGGAACATGATCTTCTCCTGGAATGCTGTTCTTTTTCTGCCATGCAAAGCGTGTATGGTTGTGGCATCTGTCCACAGTATATTTTCCAAAAATTATTCAGGCTTGTCCAGATGAGTCTTTGCACACCTCAAATGACTCTTCTCGTTGACAGAATGCAGAAAAGGCTTATTCTGCATCACCTTTCATTTAACTGTTCTTTGTGAAGAGTGGGCTAAACTGTGGAACAATGTACAAAATCAGCAGCAAGATGTCCCTAGAGCTCTTTGGAGGTGGTCTGTGGTGTGTCTGTGACCCTTCTAACCATTCTTTTCCTTTGCCTTTCAGATATTTTTATTGGTCTAGCACACTTTTCCTTCACAAGAACTGTTCATGTGGCCTTCCATTTTCTTACTTTATTTCAGACTGTGGAAACAAAGACTTTAAACCTTTGTGATAGCTTTTTGCATCCTTCTCCTAATTCATGTTGATGAAGTATCCTAGTTTATAAGACATTAGGAACTTTATCTGAGTTTATCATGTTGCTACTTTCAGGTTCACAATAAGGAGAAGCACAACTAGCAATCAGCTGTCTTAAATATCCTTTTTCACAATTGGTTGCACCTGTGTTGAGATTATTAGGCCGTACCCACTATGTACAGTTGCCTCAAACCGGGCCAAAGCACGCTTGTCCCCCCTCCCGTCTCCCCCGATGGCCCGCACTCACACAACAATCGGGCCTCTGCACGTTTACGTCATCGCTGCTGTGCTGTTCAGTGAGAAGCGCTCTATGAAACAGTCCCTTAAAAGTCACGTCTCACTTTCAGTTTCGGGCTTTGGCGCGTTTTGCACACCTCTTCCAACCGGGCCAGGGCCGGCCAAGTGAACCGTGCTTGAGCCCAATTCAGCGCACTCACACTTCTCAAACAATCCCGGAAACAGGCCTGGGCACGGTACAGATGGCATAGTGTGAGTAGGCCTTTAAGGTTCACTGAGGCATTTAAATCAAGTTTGGGTTGTAATCAATCAACATTAAGTGATTTTGAAATCCACACAAAAGAGAGGGTGCCCAAACTTTTGCATAGCCTATTTTTCAGTTTCTATTTCATTTTACACATCTCAATACTGCTACACTATGTATTTCTGTCTGAAAAACATGACATTATCTAGCTTTCTCTAGAAACCGAATGGCATTTCAACGCAATCTTCTCTCCTAAAGAAAGAGCATGTTGTTATGCAGCTACAGAGGGGTGCCCAGATTTTTGCATACGACTGTAATATTTAACATAAACACACTGTATTATAAAGGTTTCTAAAGTATCTTTTGTAGAAATCTTATACCTGAGATCAGCCTCTGTATCTTCACTCCTAAAATGCATTGGAGAACCCATAGACTGCTCACTCCTCATAGACACACAGCTGGGCTCTAGATCTGATCTCTCCTGATGAACTGAACTATGACACAGTAAGATTGTCTTTAAATTTTAAAATAAAATCAAATTAGTGGTTTGAAATGAATACTGTTTTACATAATAATGTGATAAACTATTAATAACCTAAACTTATTAAACTATTAAACCATTTGAATGATACTGATGAGATGATATCACAAATATAACATAAAACACTTTGACATAAATGTTTCAATGAGATCTTCTGTAGAAATGTTCTACCTGAGAAAAATGTGTGTATCTGTATTTATAGTTAATCATTATACCTGAATCTGGGAGAATAATCCTCATCTTTAGAAATTTTTGTGTCCTCCATGATGAAACTAAATCTGATCTACAGCACGTACTCTGGATTGAAGAGACAAACACAATAATTCAGCTGAACGGCTTTGAATGTTAGCAGTATATTTGCTGAAATACTAAAACAACCTAAAGACAACACCAAAGGGACCACAATATACCAACAACGTATACACACATACATGAATTTAAGGAAATAATTGGCCAATTTAAAAGCATGCAAAGGAATTATAAAGAGAAAGTTAACCCAAAAATGAAAAAATAACCTCATCATTGACTCTCTCGTGTGGTTTTAAATCTTCAAAAGTTTCTTCTGTTGAACACAAAAGAAATATTCAATAGCAGGAAACAAAAAATACTGAAAGTCAGTGTGTCCAGGACACCAGGATTCTTTAGACATATTTATTTAGTGTTTAACAGAATAAATAAACTCAAAATAGAATTTTGGGAAGTGAAAGTGATGTGTAAAGGATCATAAGAATTTTAATTTTTGTGTGAACTGTCCAATTAAAAGTAGAAGACCCAAAGCAACCCTACATGACTTGTCTTAGCACTCACCTAAACAGCCTTTTCAAACATCCTCCTTTTCTATCAAGTAGCTTCACGTATGCTAAACTTATGCCTTAGCTTTTATAACACTGTGATAATCCAAGCAGTAGAATCTTGCTGTTAAAATGTTAAAACATTAACGCTAAACTTCATTTTCACTTTATTTTTTATGCGAACTCATACATCTGAGTGTTTTGATTTACTTCCCTGTCTGATAGATGTTCTGGTTAAACAGGCTAAACAAGTATTTCCATTTAGAGCGGTGTGAAGCACTGCTGTTTACTGATGAATAATTTTTTTTTTTTAATCAGCATGGTTATTCAGTATATTCTGGTCTAGACTTTGGTCCTGAGCCTCACTGTGGTCTAAAATAAACATTTAAAAGAAAACAGTGAGGTTAGTATTTATTTGCATCAAGCATAATATTTCTCACCATTAATAATGTAAAATCAAAGGAAATACACCAACCTCTTCAGTGTCTTCATGTATCTTACTGCATGTTTCTTTGTATACAGTAATTTATGTCCTTGGCCTCATCTTCAGATCTTCTCTATTGTATTTGATTTGATTTTCACTGTTGGTGTGAACCAGGCCAAAATGCCAAAAATATTAGTTGGGGTTCACGTGTTGTCCCAAAATGATTAACATATAAATTTTTAATAAAGATTAATATACCATCTCCAGACAGGACATTTGAAAATTATTAGTCTAATTACAGATAAAAATTAAAAAATATATTTGTTAACTTTGTTTCACTAACATTAGGCCAGAGCCTAAATGAAATACAGTACATCAAATACAAGTTGATGTTAATGTTAGGCTATTGGCAGTAATATTCTCATGTGCAGCAAAAACAACATACCTTATAGTGAACAGTAAAAACAATAAAATAAACACACTGATAAACATCTACACAGCTCACAATATCCAATATGTTGTCAGTTTTACACAAGAGTACACAGTATGAACAGTAGTTGATCAAGTATTCGCTGCTTTAAATATTGGGTCTGAAATCCCATTTAAGTATGACTTTAAAACAACATAAACACTTTTTGATTGACTTTGACGAGTGTTGTACTTTGATAGTCATTGGCTGCTAACATGATTTCCCTATTTATGATGCTTATTATTAAGGAGGATAATGTCCAAATGTGCTAATATAAACCTACTGTACCTCAATGCCGAGTCCTTCAGAGTCAGTGTAATTTCAGCTTTGAGATGACATTAAAGTTATCTGCTGTTAAAATACACACATTATTAAATGAACACACACGTATGAGAAGGGTATAGAAGCTAAACATTTTGGGTAAAAGTAACCACAATACAACGAATCTGGAAGTGTTTTGAAGACAGCATGTGATACTGTGAAATTCTCCTACCAAGCAGAGAATTTACCTCTGTAACGCCGGGGAGTAACACCACAACAGAGGGTAGGATCCAATGTGCAGGTTTATTCACAGTCAGGCAAGCAGTGGTCAATACGGGAGCAAACAGGTATGTGAGGACAATCCAGAATCGTAGTCAGTTAACAAGCAAGAGGTCGAAAGGCAGGCGGCAGACAAGGAAAACTAAATAAACAAGGCTAGGTTCAAAACACAGAGAAACAAGACCAGGATAACGCGTTGTAATGTCACCTTACAGATAAACAAGACTCGGCAAACTGAAGGGGTGAATGTGTGGCTTAAATAGTGTGTGTCAATCAGTTTCTGAAAGTCCTCAGGTGTGCAAATGTAATCAAGCTGGATGAGTGAGCAGGTGTGAGTGTCTAGGAGAAGTGCACGTATGCATATGTAGTCCAGAAGAAGGCACAGAAGAAGGCAGATATGTAGTTTTATGAGTGAGTGTTTACCAGCGACATCTGGTGGTTGTTCGCTGGTGAACATGACAACCTGGCATTTTCAGTCCCACATGTGTCTGGATACTGTGGAGACTTGAAAGGCATGTGATGGTGGGGAAAAATGGGTGGGAGGAAAAAAAAAATCAGAGTGATAGGAAAACATATATATTTTTATGTTTCTGCGTTCCCTCGCAAAATGGTTTTTCCACAAACCCTTCCTGTTCTCTTCATACATGTCAACCCTCCTGTGTTAATCAGGATTCTCCTGTATTTTACCATTCTATCCCGCTATCATTAAGTATTTTCCCATATTTTCCATATTGTTGCACACTTAAATGAATATAAAAATGTCTGAATTGGGGTGACGTGGTGGTGCAGTGGGTAGCATGTTTGCCTCACAGCAAGAAGGTTGCTGGTTCTAGTCTCAGCTAGGTCAGTTGACTGCTCTGTTTAGAGTTTGCATGTTCTCCCCATGTTCATGTGCGTTTCCTCTGGGTGCTCCGGTTTCCCCCACAAGTCCAAAGACGTGGCACAGGTGAATTGAATATGCTAAAATTGACCATAGTGTATGAGTGTGTATGGATGTTTCCAAGTGATGGGTTGCGGCTGGAAGGGCATCCGCTGCGTAAAAATCTGTGCTGGATAAATTGGCGGTTCATTCCACTGTAGCGACCCCAGATTAATAAAGGGTCTAAGCTAAAAAGAAAATGATTGAATGAATGAATGTCTGAATTGACTTTCTTTCCATTAAAGTTGTGCGTCGATCATTGCCCTTTATGTGCAACCTCTGAATCAGCAAATGCATGTGTAAAGGTTGACTGATGGACACACTCTGTATGATAAACTGATCCTCCCCCCACTCCCCATTTATTGATAATATTTATTATAAATAAATATATTAAACTATTTATAATTATTTTAAATAAATAAAAGTATTATTGTTGATATTACTATTATACAATTAATGATCCAAAAGAAATTTTTTTTTGAAATTTGTCCTTAATGTAACTGGAACAACAGGGTACCCCCGGGATCCTCCAAATGAAATTCAAGGCTTTAAAAGACCTTTTTAATACCATTTCAAATAAAATTCAGTGCCAACTTCGTACCCATTCCAACAGAAGTATGAGGGGAAAATGTCAAATCTGTGTAAATTTTGAACCCTCAAAAATAATTATGTACAAGTGACTACTTGAATTAAATAAAACATTTTATTTTAATTATCAGTAATATTTAATACATAGGCAACAGCATGGCTGTCCAGATCTGTCAGTAGCCAATATGAAGGTCCAACTGCTTGCATTTCGTCATCCTATTGAGACTCTGGTCAAACATGACCACAGACCTGTTGGCCTTATTGTCCTGGTCAGTCAGTTATTTAGTTATAATTGGAGCCAATCTGACTTTAGTAATAGATGAAGTTTTGTTGCTTCCACACAAGAATGTAGCTGCAACCTTGGAGTCAAGAAACATGGTTTTGAAAACCTCTGTAATGTTCTCACTCGATGTGTAAGAGTGGTGCTCTGAGATTGTTTTAAGGTCCCACATCACCAGGGCCGAATTAACGTAAGGGCTAGGTGGGGCTGAAGCCCCTGGGCCCATGGAAGAAGGGGGCCCTTAATTGGCTGAAAAATTTAATTTGCGATATGACGCGGGAAAGGCCTCATGATATATGCTTTCTTTCGTCAATAATGTAAATATTCCTTTTGGTTTAAAAACAGTGACGCCGGTGATAAACTGGGGGCTCAGCGTGGCTGTAGCCCAATCAGAATATCAAATAGCCCTATTTTAGTCACCCATAAGGGTGATCAGATGTCCCAAGTTTCCCAGGACAGTCCCTTATCTTGGCACTACCGCGAGAACCGTCCAGTCAAAGGTAGGCTAACCAAGCTCGCAGTGGAAAGAAAAAAAAAAACTCAAACAGTCTTCATCATTGATACACTTGTACATGTAGTAACAGTAGCTGTGATCGGCGGAATTATGTTGAATGGACTCATAACTAAAGGGCTGTCTCGGCCGCGCGGCGGTTAAAGCTGGACTCAAACCGGCGCATGCCCGCACAATCCTTCCACCACACGAACAAATCTAATAGCCTAAACGAGCAGTTATCAAAATATCCATCGTTGCGAAGTGTCTATCTCAAGTAAATGCACTCGGTTATGCTTCACAGTAAGTCTAACTGAACCAGTTAAAAAGCAACCTTTTTTATCATGAATGTTTACTTTGCCCCTTTTATGAAATCGACAGTAATAATACGGAGCAATGAAATATTGGCGCTGACTTTCATCAGACAATATATTCGATGCAAACATATCTAAATAAATAAATAAAATAAGGATGCTAGACCACAATAAGCTATTTTGGATAATTGAAGCATGGATATTAAAGATATTATATCATTAGTAAAGAAGCGTTTTAAAGGTAAACCCCTGTTCAAAGTATTTATTATAAAGCACAAATTTAGGAAGTATTGCAAATGTTTTTTGATTTGTTTTGTTGACTTTTGCAGCCTGTTTGAACTTTAAAGTTCATATTATATCACTACTTAATTTTTTATACAGTACCTGCAGGCCTTTTTAAATAAAATAAAAATATGTAATAATCAAATATAAATCAAATGGTGTAAAATTAGATAATAATACAGTATTAATTAATAAATTCATAATAATAATAACAATAATAACAACAACAACAACGATTATATATATATATATATATATATATATATATATATATATATATATATATATATATATATATATATATATATATATATGTATATATACACACACACACACACTTGTGAGGTAAAAAAAAATTAGAAAGAGGACCCTTGAATTTGCTATAGCCCCAGGGCCCAATGTGTTCTTAATCCGGTCCTGCACATCACCTCTGTCCGCAGAGTTGGTGTTAAGCCACAGTAAAATAGGATGTTCCTTGGCTGTGGTGGCAATGCTTCTAATGTAGAAATTTCTTCATTACAGATAGCCACCGCTGTTTCAGTAACTGAAGAGGTCTCTGGTGCACAGAACTGCACAATAGGTGGTTGGCGTTGACGAGCAGTACTACACACGGTGTGTTTGGCACCCCTCATATGGGACTCCAGGGCTGTAACACCCATTGTCGCTAACTTAAAAGATTTCAGGCACCAACAGCAGTTAGGCATCGCGGTCATTTCCCGGCACAGGCGTAATTCGGATTCCTTGGTCACAGTGGATTAAACCGACACATTCTCATTTTAGCCAACAAACCAAGCTAGCGACTATCTTGTTCTGTTCCTCACTTGCCTAGTAACCATAATAATGGGTGTGCATGCTTTTTATGCTTTCTGCTATGACATGAAGCGCGAGATGCATTTAACGTTACGCTGCATGAATTTTTAATTAGCCTACATTGGTAACAGTTAAATTTGTTATGGTATGTACTTTATCATAGGAAAGGCAAAAATAAATGAATAAAATAAGACCTTTGTAACAAAATCCAAGACTTTGTATACCAAATTAAGGCCTTAATTTGAGATGATCAAATTTAAGACTTTTTCAATGCTTTTAAGACACTGCGGGTACTCTGAATACAAAGACACAACTTGTGTGATATACCAAGATCATTTAATAAGTCTTTTGCAGGAATATTAATTTCATTTCACAATTCTATAAGAATTATAAGAAATTGTCTTTCAGACCCAACACTTGCAGAATTTTTGTTTTGACGACTTGCAAAACCCACTGTGTGGACACTTCTGCGTTAAAGGCCGTCATACAGGTTTTACAATGCATGAGTGCTGCGTATTTTTTCGACGTGCATGTTAACAACCGGGATTCCTCTTCTGTCTTCAGATGTGCTGCTGATGTTTCTCAGTCCCACCATTGCAAATCCTTCTTTCTAAGTATTTTGAATGTGCATTTGCATAATTGAAATAAAAGAATGTCCAAGACAAAGCTAATAAGTTTCTTATGTGGATATGTACACAAGCTGTGGACTTGCAACAGGGGGCCACCTGAAATCTTGCCTAGGCTGCCAAATTGGATAGGGCTGGGCCTGCGCACACACATACACACACACACACACGCACGCACACACACACACACACACACACACACACACACACACACACACACACACGTCATATGTCACATATGAGACATTACTGCTGTCACATCACATCAGCAGATCCATTTCAGAAAAGCTTGAGCAGATAAATAAGGGTTTACAAACCCCTGTCAAACTGTTTAAAGCACAGACTAAAGAGAAGCTGAATCATTATCAGATATTCCAACACAATCTCACGGCAATTCGTAACTTTTTCATTTAGTGGCTAATTCGTATGAATTCGTACAATCTAATTCGTACAATTTAGTACGATTTGCTTATCCCCCAATGACGGTTGGGTTTAGTGGTGGGGTTAGGTGCCACGCCTCCTTTTTCAAATCGTACCATTTCGTACGACTGAACTCGTCCGAATTAGCCACTAAACTGGCAAAACGTAAAATACTTACGTTTTCTCGTGAGATCAGGCTGGATATTCTGCATTTGCACACACACATGAGGCCTGTTACCCAATTTAAACCAATTTTACAGCTTAAAACATACTCACGATTGTATAATGTTTCCAGTTTATAACGTGGGTCATCTTTCAGATCAGAGAGCAGCTTCTCTGTTGATTTTGATAGTTTATTCTCAGACAGACTCAAGAATGTCAGGTGTTCAGGGTTTGATCTCAGAGCTGAAGCCAAAGCAGAACAACCTTTATCTGTGAGACCACAATTAAACAACCTGTAGAGAACAACGACACACTCTTCACTCTCACATCACATCAGTTTAACACAGAATTAATTATTAAAGTACAAACTAAAAGAACAAATCAACATGTTTGATAACATTTTAAATGGTTGCAAAATCTCACCTTACATGTTGAAAAACTGGATTTCTCAAATAGGTATAACATTGGAAATGTTTTAGAAATGTTTTTAAATTTGCAAAGTATTAAAATGTCAATGAATTCAAATATTTAGGTATCATGTTTGACTCGAACCTTAATTTTAAAACTCATACTAAAAATCCTGCAACCATACTGAGGCTCAATCCAAGAAATGTTATACATATTAGATAGTCTCTGACTTATGAGGCCTCTGGTATGTATTTAAATAGTATGATTGTTCCACATTTGTTGTACTGTATAACGAGCTGGCCTCAGGCATTAACTTGTAACATAATTGGAATCATTATACAAGAGAGCACTTAAAATTTATGATAAAAGGCCTTGGTTGTACCATCACTGTAATATCTATGTGCTGCAATTTAAGAAAAAACATGAAATTACAAAAAAGACAAGCAAATTAGGAAAAGATCTTCATCAGTTCAACTTTAAATCCTTACAATGCAACACATTAATAAAACGCACTGCATTTTCACACAACACAAACAGAACGGAACACGATGGAAATGTTTCAAGGGGACTCAAAAATGTGACGGACGGTGTTGTGCTGTGAGTAGTTTCAGTGAAGTGGTAGAGATCTTTAAAAGGTCAGTTTATTTGCTTGTTTATTTTAATATCCCGATTCCCGTGTCTTTACTATTTAAACATCGCTAACGGCATGTTCTATGGTAAGAGTGGAATGTATTGTCCATAGACGTAGAACGTCTTTTGGTCAATCTTCTTTTATTTATAAATCCACAAATGTATGGAGTTCTTACCCAACAGAAATAATCACATGTACACATTACAAGATACTTTCACGCCTGACTAGGAGGTGTTTTTTTTTTTCTTTCAAATCATATTTATACACACTGAGTGAGATGTTTTTGACTTGTCAGTGTTTTAGTTTAAATGTGATTTTGCCTATATGTTTTAAACCGACCTTATAATTAATCAATTATTATTGTTTTAATGTTTACCTGTCAAGGGACTGCAGGTGGAAAATAGCAATCTTGCTACAACCTGGCACAATGCATCTTTTCTTTTTGAGGTTAATGTTATTTTGTGCATGTCCCTGTTAAATAAATACATTTATTCATTCATTCAGCCAACACTAAAGCCCACCACCATCAGGGCTTTATGGCAGAGTGGCCTGAAGGAAGCCTCTTCATCACCTGTCCAATACAGGTCCAACAGTGAAGGAGGGGGTGGCAGCATCCTGTTGTTGGGGTGTTTTTTAGCTGCAAGGACGACTGATTGCAATCAAGGGAAATGTGAATGCAGTCAAGTACACCTTCCAACAAAGCAATTAAGCTTAACAACTAGACAATTTAAGCAAACAGCTAAAATAATGGAGAGGCTTAACAACAACTATGTGGCTGTTCTTCAATGGCACAGAGTCCTGACTTAAACCCAACTGAGCATCTCTGGAGACACCTAAAATTGGCTGTCCACCAACGTTTACGGTCCAACCAGACAGAACTGGAGAGGATCTGCAAGGAGGAATGGCAGAGGATCCCCAAATCTAGGTTTGAAAAGCTTGTTGCATCTTTCCCAAAAAGACTCATGGCTGCATTAGATCTAAAGGGTGCTTCTACTAAACATTTAGCAAAGGATCTGAATGCTTAAAATATTTTAGTGATATTTCAGTTTTTTTGTTTTTTTACAAATCTGCAAAAATCGTAACAATTCTGTGTTTTTATGGGGTGCCGTGTGTACATTAAGAAAAAAACTTTACATGAACTTACATGATTTTATCAAATGGCTGTAATATAACAAAAAGCGAAAACATTAAGGCTGTCTGAATACTTTACATACCCCTGTCTTTTTAAATAAATAAATAATCTAATAAGAAAAGTTATGTGATTGAGAAGGAAGTGCGTTTTCTTTGTGTTTTTGTTTATGTATCATTTGTTGTGGCTCTCTTCTCTCTTTAACATTCTTATAAAATATTCAAATAATTTTAAATGAACCTTATTTGCACACATCCATACAAAGCATGAACATAATTATTACACTCTAAACTATCAATTAAACACAGGAAAATGGGTGGAACACACTTATGTGATTAAAATGAAATGAAATTGTCCGCACTGATGATTTTTCAAACTTATACTGAAAACCCATACAAGAGAGCTCTACATAGTGTTTATTGTGTGAGAGTCAAATATGATCTTACCACAGTTTCTCTAGTTTACAGCGAGGATCCTCCAGTACAGCAGAGAGAAGAGTCACTGAATCTCCTAAATTATTCCAGGACAGATCCAGGACTTTCATGTGTTCAGGGTTTGATCTCAGAGCTAAAGCCAAAGCAGCACAACCTTCATCTGTGAGACCACAATCTCTCAACCTGTAGAGAACAATGACACACTCTTCACTCTCTCACAACACATCAGTTTAGCATGTATGAATCACAGATCAAACGCCACACAGAAATCCGTCCTGGACCAGCCGAGACTCAAACCTCAAACCTTCTTCAGTGGAGTGAAAGTGCTTACCACTGACATAGCAGACCTTGTCTTGATGCAGTTCCACAATTGTTATTTGTTCTTCTTGTTTTTTTTTTTTGTTTTTTTTTTGTAGATAACTGACCAACAAAAATGCATTAAATTGAAGAAATAAATTATACCAAACTAAATTTGTTTTCAAAAAAGAGAATCTTTCCAACAAAAATTGGCTACAAGTGTAGCCTAGCTTTATTTTTGTTTGCCTGTCTACTACACAGCTGTGTGGTTGGATGATTAGTTTCACTCCATGAAAATAAGAATTTAATTAACGCTCAACAGTAATCATTGTATCACAAACCTCTGTCAAATATTTGCTATACTTCTAATAGAAGTCATTATTTTAAAAATTATGCCGTGAGCTAGGGCTGGATGATTTTTTGGATTTTGTTTTTATTAATTCGAACTTACGTTTTGACGACAATTTAGTTTTGGATTAAATCAAGAAATCGCGATTTAAAAAAAAATATTGATCCATTATAATGGCACCAATGCGCTTTGGTTCACTCTGTATGAAGCAGGTCACACATCAGAAGCGCCGCTCGGCGACGCACCGAACAGCACCATAGATTTTAGGTTCTAAACAGGTTCTATACACACAACGGCGCTGCCCAGCCACGATTCAGGACGCAGTTCATATTTCAGCCACGCCACAGAGCGCCATCTGATTAGTTTCATGTTAAATATTATGTGAACGTGCGCGTATGGTTTGTGATAGTTTAAACGGTCATGTGCGCGCCGTGTCGCGGCGCTTCTGGTGTGCGACCTGCTTGACTGTCTGTTAAAGCATGTGCAAAGCGCATGAAATGATCGGTATTTAAATCGGTTTTTATTTATTAATCGGGGGGAGAAGAAAAATAGAATAAAAATATTATTTTATATTAGACACACATCTGGTGGTTGTATTTGCTCCTGCTAAATGTCCACAACTTCACGCATTGGGTTCAATTAGGCTTTACAGTTTCCATGTTCAGTCCTTTTCTTCCACTGTACCTTTTTAAGAAAAAGGCAGCAGCATTACAACCTGTCATTCAATCTGAAGACAAAGCTGACAGCCAATCTTTCCTAGGCTCAGCAAAACTTGCAAAAAAATACCTCTGTATTTCTGCAAGTCCAATATTTACACATATATTTTTTTTATTTAAATCTTCTGCAATGCTATTTAACTCGTGAATTTGTTTTACATTTATTTACACCTTGTTGACCAATTTATGCGACCAATTTATGCATGGCATGGCCATTAAAAATACAATGTTCCTTAACCAGATGGGTTTTTTTTTAAGTTACTTATAAAGAGAATGTTACTTCAGTCATGTTGTTGTAATGTTTTAAGCTGACTAGTTACACACACACAAAAAAATCTAAATCGTGAATCGGTCAAACTTTATAAAAAGCCTAGATTTTTTTTTCCATATCGCCCAGCCCTACCTTGAGCATCTGACTTTTCCTCTGTTTTTGGATGCTTTCACCTTTTCACGAGTGAGGAAGTGTTTTCATTTATAAAACTGCCTGCAAAGAGATATCAGGTTTGCTGAAAGTCTGGTTATTTTACCGGTGACGAAAGACAAGTGGTATTACAGATTTCAAAGGAAACATCTTATTAAAGAGGAAAGACCTTGACAAAAACAGATTTTATCAATGTCTTAACATAGAATGCCCTTAAATAATGCAGCTCATCTCTCATTCTCGCGCTGTAGATGCTCTGTTTAACTGTTTTCTCTCTAGTGACGTGTTCAGTTTTTCCAGTCCGTCATGTAAATGGCGCGGCACAACTGACTGCTAAAGGGAATGGGAGATGAGACTCTGATTGGTTTGTTCTCAAATCATACTTATAACTAATTAAGAGAATAAGCTCAACCCTGTTAGACCATGCACCAGGGCGCAAAGTGGATTTTTCCATCCTTAAAATAGCCAAAGTGAATTCAGACGCACCCTTAATGCTTTGCGCCCTGTTCTTTAGACTTTGCGCATGGATCATCAAAATAGAGCCCCATGTGTTTATTAAGATTGTGTAGTCTGTCATATCTAGTCTGTTTTATTACAGAAGCTTTAAACAGATGCACATACGGTGACTGCAGTGATGTTCAGCTCTAATGAGGCCCCTTTAGCATAATACTTTTTTTTTTAATATAGTGTTCCATTACACAAAATGACTTTCATTTTTATATTTATAGTCTGTATATAAAATGAATGCTTAGCTTAGATCACAGTGATCATTACACATTGCATCGGCTTCTTCTTCAGAAGGCTCTTAAGTTAGGCTCTGTTCTTTGACTGAAGGGCTGCATTTTAGTCATAGAATTTAGTCATTAAACAATGATAGTAAACAAGCAATTGTTCCTTCTTTTAACAAACTTATTAGATTTTTATAAAGAAAAAAAAAAAGATTTTCTTTGGGTGGGGATGCTTACGTTTGGACTCTAAATTGTACGTCATAAAACAGACACAAATCGCATTATTAAGGATAACTAGTAAATGATCATTAATTTAAATGATGATCGATCAGGATTTTGTAGAAAATGACATCCCTAAAACCAACTTTTATACAGTTTCATAAGGTTTCATTTAAAATAAATAAGTAAAATGTTCTGTGATTTTCACAAAAATATGAATCAGAATGGAAAACGTTTTCAAAACAGATAACAATCAAAATAATATATTTCTATTTAAAACATAAAAACTTAATCCCAAACTAAGAAGGTATTTTTTATTATACAAAATTTATATGTGAAATTAAGTGATAACGTTACATGTTACATCAACTTTACATATATAAATATATATATATATATATATATATATATATATATATATATATATATATATATATATATATATATATATATATATATATAATATGATCTTACCACAGTTTCTCCAGTTTACAGCGAGGATTCTCCAGTACAGCAGAGAGAAGAGTCACTGAATCTCCTAGATTATTATCTGACAGATTCAGATCTCTCAGGTGTTCAGGGTTTGATCTCAGAGCTGAAGTCAAAGCAGCACAACCTTCATCTGTAAAACCACAATTATACAACCTGTAGAGAACAATGACACACTCGTCACTCTCTCACATCACATCAGTTTAACACTGAATCAGTCATTAAACATAAAGTAGAAACTAAAAGCACAAATTAACATGTTTGATGGATAATTGGACTGAGATGGACTTTATTCACTGCAGATAATAGGATTCGTATGTACTTGTGTCTGTGCAATGAATATACTGTAGTAACTTCAATGGTTCACGCTTAGCTGATAATAAAGCAGATTTGACATGCTGTTTGGGGAGAGAGTCCTGAGAATATCCTTGTGCCCGGGACTGTCATGTTAGAAAAGCGAGAGGGGTGTTTAAGCCCAGGTAGGTTTCAAGAACTCCCCTGCTTGTAAGTGTGCTAAGAAGTGTCTGGCTAAGAGTTGTTTTAACAGTACTATTAAAGAATCTGGGCGTCACAGTGGCTTAGTGAGTAGCACGATCACCTGACAGCAAGAAGGTTGCTGATTCAAGCCTCAGCTGGGCCAGTTGGCATTTCTGTGTGGAGTTTGCATGTTCTCCTCGTATTTGCGTGTGTTTCCTCTGGGTGTTCCAGTTTCCCCCACAAGTCAATACATGCGCTATAGGTGAATTGGGTTAACTGTCTGTAGTGTATGTGTGTGAATGGTTGTGTATGGATGTTTCCCAAAGATAGGTTGCAGCTGGAAGGGCATCCACAGCGTAAAACATTTACTGGTTAAGTTGGTGGTTCATCCCGCTGTGGCGACCCCAGATTAATAAAAGGACTAAGCCGAAAAGAAAATAACTGAATTATAGAATCCATTAAAGTCAAATGCATTACATTTTTTTACCAAAAAATATCTAGAAAAAAAGTGAACAGATAATAATTAAAATAAAATATAATAATATATTAACTTTTAAAACATTAAACTGTCTTTCAGACTGGTAATGTATGTATTATTGATTTGTTTGTGAGAGCTATTTTTTATTTACATTATTTAATTCTATGTGATATTAACACACTTTACTTTATATTAATCTACTTTATATTGAGTTTCATGTGTGAAAGTCAAATATGACCTTACCACAGTTTCTCCAGTTTACAGTGAGGATCCTCCAGTACAGCAGAGAGAAGAGTCACTGAATCTCCTAGATTATTCCAGGACAGATCCAGTTCTCTCAGGTGTTCAGGGTTTGATCTCAGAGCTGAAGCCAAAGCAGCACAACCTTCATCTGTGAGACCACAATCATACAACCTGTAGAGAACAACGACACACTCTTCACTCTCTCACATCACAGTTTGAGACACACCAAGCCAGTGGCGTTGCGAGGGGGGGGGGTGGCTTTGGGGGCTTAAGCCCCTGATGTATTGTCAAAAGCCCAATCTTTTGCAATATGTTGCGCTTAAATAAAAATATGGTGTATAACATTTATTTTGTTATCTAAGTACCGAAAATTACCGCATCACGCACATTCCACCTAACGCAGTCTTTGTGTCGGGTCAGCTGTTCAGCAGTACCTGTATCTACCGGCAGATGGGAGTGGCACTGTTGTCACATATGATGTTTAAAAAAATTCCGCCACTGCACACTTATTCATTATTTTGTAGAGCTGAAGCTGATGAGGTAATAAGTAATTAATTTGTTTCCACAGTATTAAACGTGTGTAGTTTTGGTGAAATAAAATAACTGTAATCAATAAAATTTGCATCATATCAATGCATACATGCGAATTAGTCAGAAAAACGTAAATTGTTCTAGCTTTCTAGATATGACATAGATATCTAGGCATATTTATCTAGATATGATATAGCCAGTCACATCTGTTTGTTGTAATAGTTAAATCACAGTGAGTTCATGCATCTAGCATTTTATTGTATAGCTACATTCTACTGTAACATGCTATGTCAATTAGCAGGGGATTGTAAATCGACTTTCTTATGAAAATACCTGAGATGGCTGGAAGAAGACATACAGTTAAAGTTTGATTAGCCCCAGTTGAATTATTGGCCCCCTGTTTATTTTTTCCCTAATTTCTGTTTAATGGCGAGAAGATTTTTTCAACACATTTCTAAACATAATAGTTTTAATAACTCATCTCTAATTACTGATTTATTATGACAGTAAATAACATTTGACATTTATTATTTACTTATGACAGTAAAAAATATTTGACTAGACATTTTTCAAGACACTTCTATACAGCTTAAAGTGGCATTTAAAGGCTTTAAAGGCAGGTTAGGGTTATTTGGCAAATTATTGTATAATGATGGTTTGTTCTGTAGACTATCAGAAAAAAATGTAGCTTAAAGGGGCTAATAATTTTGACCCTAAAAGGGTTTTTTAAAAATGTAAAATTGCTTTTATTCTAGCTGAAATAAAAGAAATAAGAATTTCTTCAAAAGAAAAAATATTATCAGACATACAGGGGAAATTTCCTTGCTCTGTTAAACATCATTTGGGAAATATTTAAAAAACAAAATAAAATTCAAAGGGGAATAATCATTCTGACTTCAACTGTATAAACATTTATTATCACAGTCATGTAAACGATCAGTTAAAGCCTTTTTATGTTTATTCAGATCTTATTTTCATTCAACTACAGCAATAGCTGATGCCTTCATCCATATTAAGGATTTCCTGGAATGTTTTACTACTTTTGTGAGGCATATATGGATTTTCTGCTCAATGAATGAATGAAACGGGCATTACTTGCATTTAAAGTGCTACAATGCCCAAATCACCTTATTTTGAGGAAAACTGAAAAAAAAAATCTCCCTCTAGAGAAATTTGAAGTAAACACATTTCTAGCATATGAATCTTTATTTTTATTTTTTTGTACTATTTTTGATCAGCTGTTGATCAGTTATTAAAATGGAATCAGTATTTAAGCAGAGCTGCAGAGACAGAAAGACTATGGTTAATTACCCTTCCTCAAAGCAGCTTTCCTTTGTTCTTTATTTTGGCTTTACCCACTCATATAACTCACTAGATTTTAATTCATTTTGTTTCCACCAATGAAGGCTTCAATTCACAGTTCTAGTTTAAGTCATCATTTAATTAATTATACATTTGTTTTACTTGGAATAATTTACCTGAATAATGTAACTTATTTGGTATCGGGTAACCTCATAATAAACAGTAAATATTCATTCATTCATTCATTTTCTTGTCGGCTCAGTCCCTTTATTAATCTGGGGTCGCCAAAGCGGAATGAACCGCCAACTTATCCAGCAAGTTTTTATGCACACACACACTCATACACTACGGACAATTTAGCCTACCCAATTCACCTGTACCGCATGTCTTTGGACTGTGGGGGAAACTGGAGCACCCAGAGGAAACCCACGCAAAGGCAGGGAGAACATGCAAACTCCACACAGAAATGCCAATTGAGCCGAGGTTCGAACCAGCAACCCAGCAACCTTCTTGCTGTGAGGCGACAGCACTACCTACTGCACCACTGCCTCGCCCAAACAGTAAATAAAACTTGGCAAACAAAATGAAGAAAAGACTAAAATTCATAATAACTAACTGATTATTTTAAATTTCCATGCAGTGCAGCTCGTAATCACTGTAAAGCTTCTGACGCACATAAATCATTAGAAACAGCAGATGAGTATTGTGAGTTTAATGTTCACTACGTCAGAATTTATTCACCAAATGATTATCCATCAACCAGGGCTTAATTTGTGCCTCAATTTACTGATACCCATCTTCACCCGCCCTCCTCCCTCTGCTGTTCAATTTCACGACTCACCAACCCTCCTAACTTACGTCAGCAACACCACTCCGCTATCCACCCCCATCCTCCCCCAATTTTCTCTATCTGAATTTGGCACTTCAATTACTTGTTTCTGGTGATACTTCAAAATCTGCATTTAAACAGGGATGAAAATAGAGCTGGTAATACTTACTGAACTGATCTGAATTCTCTAACCACAGGCAGCAGCCTCCTAAAAACGAGCAGTTTTTCAGTTTTATCGTTTCCAGCAACAAATTCAATAATATCAAACTCCTCCAGCTTCTTCTCTGATGTCAACAACACAAAAACTACAGCTGACCACTGAGATGAGGAGAGTTTGGCTCCCTTTATTCCTCCATATTTCAGGTACTGCTGTATTTCCTTCACTAGTGAATGATCACCCAGTTCATTCAGACAGTGAAACAGATTGATGGATTTCTCTATAGAGTTGATGGTCCTGATCTTCATCTTGATGTACTCGACTGTTTTATTATTCTTGATTGACCTGCTTCTCAGTTTCATTAGTGCTTGAAGGAGAATCTGATGAGACTCCACTGACAGACCAAGAAGAAACCGCAGGAAAAGATCCAGATGTCCATTTTTGCTCTGTAGAGCCTCATTTACAGCTCGCTGATGCAGTTCAGATAATGAAGCTGGTTTTATTTTTAATTTTAATTTTGTTTTGGCCAACACACTCTGTTTGGCGGCAGGGTTAAACTCATTTCTGTTTTTTTTTATACAGGAGAGGTGCACATATAGAGCCGCTAGATGTTCCTGAATGCTCAGATGAACAAAGCTGAAGACTTTCCCCTGATACAAGCCAAACTCCTCTCTGAAGATCTGAGTGCACAATCCTGAGTAAACTGAAGCTTCTGCCACATCAATGCCACACTCTCTCAGGTCTTCCTCATAGAAGATTATATTGCCTTTCATGAGCTGCTGAAAAGCCACTTTCCCCAGTTTGAGGATCATATCTTTATCTGTCAGCTTCTCCTCATAGTCCTTCTGATGTTTGATGTTGGTCTGCAGGATCAGGAAGTGTGTGTACATCTGAGTGAGAGTCTTGGGAATCTCTGCAGTCTCTGTTTCACTCAACATCTTCTCCAGAACAGTGGCTGAGATCCAGCAGAACACTGGGATGTGGCACATGATGTAGAGGCTCCTGGAGGACTTCAGGTGTGAGATGATTGTATTGGCCAGCCTCTGATCACTGATTCTCTTGCTGAAGTATTCCTCCTTCTGAGGGTCATTGAAGCCTCGTACCTCTGTCACTCGATGGACACACTCAGAGGGGACGAGATCTGCTGCTGCTGGTCTGGAGGTGATCCAGATGAGAGCAGAGGGAAGCAGATTCCCCACAATCAGGTTTGTCAGCAGCACATCCACTGATGATGTTTTGGACACATCCCTCAGAGTCTTGTTCCTTTTGAAATTTAAAGGAAGACGACACTCGTCCAGACCATCAAAGATGAACAGCACTTTATATTTGTCACTGGATATTTCCATTTCTTTAGTTTGAGGGAAATAGAGCTGAAGAAGATCTGACAGACTGAGTGTTTTGTCCTTCATCAGATTGATCTCTCTGAAAGGAAGTGGAAATATGAGCTGGACGTCCTGATTCTCCTTCTCTTCAGCCCAGTCCAGGATGAACTTCTGCACAGAGACTGTTTTTCCGATGCCAGCGACTCCCTTCGTCAGCACAGTTCTGATGGCTTTGTCTTGTCCAGGTAAAGGTGTAAAGATGTCTCTGCATTTGATCGCTGTGTCCTCTGTTGTTGATCTCCTGGATTGTGTCTCAATCTGTCTCACCTCATGCTCATGACTGATCTCTCCACTCTCACTCTCTGTGATGTAGAGCTCTGTGTAGATCTCATTCAGAAATGCTGGGTTTTCCTGTGCCGCTGTTCCCTCATACAGACACTCAAACTTCTTCAGCAGATTTGATCTAAATGTGTTGAGGGCTTTATGGCTGTAAAATATAAAAATCCATTATTACAGTTAATAATCTAAATGCCTTTTCTGTATCATCATCATCATCATCATCATGTAACCTTCACATAATTGTTTTACCTGAGATCAGTCTCTGTGTCTCCACTCTTAACATCTAACGGCTGATCCACAGATTCATCATCACTCCTCATGGAGACACAGCCGGACTCTGATTCGGTGCTTTTCTGATGAACTGAACTAAAACATACAGAAATTAAAGTTAATTCTTACAATATCATATTCCACAATTTACTGCACATATTAATATATCAGTAAAAATCCTTACACTATGAACAATTTATGCTCATTAAAGTTACAATGTTAATAGAGAAATTGTGTCGTCCCTCGATCTGTATGAGCAACACTATATTTATATAGACATTTTAGAAAAAATAAAAAACAACTACCCCAATAGTTAACAAACATTTTTCATATTGTGCATTATTCTGATACACAAAATACCACACTCCAATTAAATTTTATATTGCACACCTAGGATCAACCCCTGTAAGACCTGGGGTGGGGGCTCGTATGCGAGCGCCTGGTGGCTGGGTTTTTTTCCCACGGAGAAAGAAGTGACGTGAGAACATCCTCATGCAGGCCCACCACCTACAGGGGGAGCTGTAAGGGGCCAGTGCATTGTGGAATGGGTGGTAGTCAAAGGTTAGGACCACGACAATGCCCATGTCGGTAATGACAGTGATACCCTAAGAGGCGTGATTGAGAGGAACGGTCTCCCTGATCTGAATCCGAGTGGTGTTCTGTTATTGGACTTTTGTGCTAATCAAAGTTTGTCCAAAACAAACACCATGTTTGAGTGTCAGTGCACATGGCACCAGGACACCCAAGGGCGGAGGTCAATGATTGACTTTGTGGTTGTATTATCTGATCTCCGAACATATGTCTTGGACACCTGGGTAAAGAGAGGGGTAGAGCTGTCAACTGATCATCATCTGGTATGAAGTTGGATCCGCTGGCAGGGCGTAATGCTGGACAGACCTGGCAGGCCCAATTGTATTGTAAGGGTCCTCAAGTGAGGGGGATTTTCAACTTTCATCTTTGGAAGAGCTCTGACCAGACCCCGAGGGAGGCTGGGGAAATTGAGACCAAGTGGTCCATGTTCTCCGATTCCATTGTTGACGTGGCTGTGAGGACCTGTGGCCGTAAGGTCTGTGGTGCCTGTTGCAGTGGCAATCCACGTACCCACTGGTGGACAACGGAAGAAAGGGATGCTGTCAAGCTGAAGGTGCCCTACAGGGCTTGGTTGGCTTGCAGGACTCCCCAGGCAGCTAATGGGTACCGACAGTCCGGTGAGTTGTGGAATCTAAAACTTTGATCATGGAGGATTTTGGGAGGACCATGGAGGAAGACTATTAGTTGGCACTAAAGAGATTCTGGCACACAGTCCGGTGCCTTAGGAGGGGAAAGCAGCTCCACATTGACACTGTTTACAGCAGAGGTGTGGAGCTGTTGACCTCAACTGGGGATGTAGTTGGACGGTGAAACAAATACTTTGAGGAGCTCCTCAACCCCACCGACATGTCTTTCATTGAGGAAGCAGAGACTGGGGATGCAGGGGTGGACTCACTTTTCACACAAGCTGAGGCCACTAAGATAGTTTGCAAGCTCTGCAGTGGCAAAGAAGCTGGGATGGATGAGATTCACCCAATGTATCCTAGGTCTCTGGATATTGTGGGGTTGTCTTGGCTGACATGTCTCTACAATATAGCATGAAGTTTGGTAACAGTACCTCTGGGTTGGGCAACTGGGGTGGTGGTTCACATTTTTAAGAAGGAGGACCAAAGGGTGTGCTCCAAATATAGGGGGATCACACTCCTCATCCTCCCTGAGGAAAGTATATGCCAGGATATTGAAGAGGAGGATCCAGCCAATTGTTAAACCTCGGATTAAGGAGGAACAATGCGGTTTTCGTCCAGGCCATGGTATACTGGACCAGCTCTATACCCTTACCAAGGTGCTCGAGGGTTCATGGGAGTATGCCCAATCAGTCCACATGTTTTGTGTACTTGGAGAAGGCATTCGATCATGTCCTTCATGGCATTCTGTGGAGGGTGCTCTGGGAGTATGGGGTCAGAGGCGCTCTGTTAAGGGCCGTCTCGTCCCTGTATGAATAGAGTGGAAGTTTGGTTCGCACTGCCAGCAATAAGTCAGATTTGTTTCCAGTGCATGTTGTACTCCAGCAGGGTTGCCCTTTCTCACCAATTCTGTTCATAATTTTTATGGACAGATTTTCAAAACGCAGCCTTGGGCTGGAGGGGGTCCAGTTTCGGGACCACAGGATCTTATCTCTGTTATTCGCAGACAATGTTGTTCTGTTGGCTTCATCGAATATGGACCTTTAGCATGTTCTGGGGCAGTTTGCTGCCGAGTGTGATGCAGCTGGGATGAGAATCAGCACCTCGAAGTATGAGGCCATGGTGATCCACGAAAAAATGTGGTTTGTCATCGCCAGGTTATAGGAAAGTACTTACCATGTAGAGAAGTTTAAGTATCTTGGGGTTTTGTTCTAGAGCGTGGGAAGGATGGAGCGTGAAATTGACAGGCGGATCAGTGCAGCAGCAGTAGTAATGCAGTCAATGCACCGATTCAATGTGGTAAAGAAAGAGCTGAGCAGAAAGGCAAAGCTCTGGATTCACCGGTCAATCTACGTTCCTACTCTCACCTATGGTCATGAACATTGAAACATGACCGAAAGGACAAGATCTTGGATACAAGCAGCCAAAATGAGTTTCCTTCACAGGGTAGCAGAGTGCACGCTTATAGACAGGGTGAGGAGCTCTGAGTAGAGCTCGGAGTAGAGGTGCTGCTTCTCCACATTGAAAGAATCAGCTGAGGTGGCTCAGGCATCTGGATGCCTCCTGGCTTTAGGGGAAATTCAGAACATGCTGGAGGGACTTTGACTGGGGAGAGGGAAGTCTGGGGTTCTATCCTAAGACTGCTGCCCCCGCGACCCGGCCCCAGAAAAGCAAGTGAAAATGAATGAATGATTGAATGAATAAATGAACCTGAGATCAGGCGGTGTCTCTTCATTCTTAAAGTACAATGGAGGATTCATAGAGCCATCACTCCTCATAGACACACAGCTGGGCTCTGGATTTGATCTCTTCTGATGGACTAAACTATAACAAAGAGAGATGGTTTAAGTTTTAAATTAGTCAGGTTTAATTAATATTTATGCATAAAAACAAGTTAATCAACTTTTTAGCATTTTAGCAATTAAATAGGTACATAGAACAAAACACAAAAAGCTTTTTATTGATGTGTCTGAGTATGAAAGAATTTCATAAAAGTTATAAATAAGTATAAATGTAAGTTAAATATAAATGTATTACCTGAGATCAATCGGTGTATCTTCACTCTTAAAATCATATGGATGACCCATAGACTGGTCACTCCTTATAGACACACAGCTGGGCTCTGGATCTAAGCTCTTCTGATGAACTGAACTATAACAGAAAATACCAGACCAATTTAAAATAATTACTTTAATATTTAAATATAGTTTTAAAAAGTTTTGAATATAGTACTTTTTAATCAAAGGTACACTGTAAAGAATCAAATAAAATTTTTTAATTGGAAAATAATTATTTTATATATATATATATATATATATATATATATATATATGTAAATTTTTTTTTTGGGGGGGGGGGTCACCTTTAATGGACAGGATAGTAGAGATTATTGACAGGAAAGCATGGGAAGCAGAGAAAGGGGAGGCATCGGCATAGGGCCGCGAGGGGAGAATTAAACTCAGGTCGCTGTGAGCAACAGAGTGCATTTGTCGACGCACTAACCACTACACTACTGGTGCCGACAACTAGAAATGAATTTTAACATTAACTTTACAGCAGTTTGCTTTCCTCCATTACTTGTGTAATTAAACTCAAAGTACCTGCATCCTGGAGAAACATTTTCATGTCTGGATATTTGTGTGTCGTCCATTATGAAACAGGATCTGATCTGCGCCACTGATTGGACTGAAAAGACAAAGAAACAACGATTTAGCTGTACGAGTACCGAGTGTCAATGAGCAGAAAATAAACCAGGTTAAAATGATTTTAAATTTTACAAACATATCAAGTAATCATGCCTAAATATAATCCAGAGGACTAACACAACCTACAGAGCAAACTGCATTTCCTGCAGAATATCAAACTCCACTCTTGACGAGAGCATGCTAACTCAACCATTATTCAGGTTCATTAAGGTTTATGTTAAACACTTTGATAAACGCAACATATAAAACACATTTGAGTAATATTTGGGTCATTCTACAGAAACGTGCATTTTATCTGTCCTTATGTGTGTAAGAATTGAAATATTATGTCTTTGACAATTCAAAACATGAGCTGAAGACAGGGCCAATGGACTCCACAACCCACCAGGGGGGAATGCGTGAAAAACCAGTTCCTGCTGCATTTGCATCTGACTATGCTGAAACTCAGCTTCATCCCCCCAACTCACACATATGGTCATTTCAATGTTTGAATGTTCTAGAATTAACCAAACTGACTTTAACCATCATGTTTGATATCATTTGAAATGTCTCAGTGCGATTGGTACAATGGTCTCATTCTCTCAGAAATAGACATAATCAGAACAATAAATATATAACTTCAGGCATCTTTTGAACCACTGTGAGGGGTGTGACACTAAGTCTGAATGCCTTTTTTGTTATTCACACCCCCTTCCTTGAGGGAATTCTTGGATTATTTAAGGTAAGGGTTGAGAAAAACTCAGCGCGATTCTGCCTAACCAGATCAGCCCATAACATGGCTTGTTCCATGTTATGTATATTTCAAAGTCAGAAATGCATCTTTTTCATCTTGGATTTATCTTTGATAATTTGATATTTTGTATTGATCATTTATGAATTGACTGAATGAATTGGCATAATACATTTACCTGACTAATAAATTGTTATGTTTTGAATGATTCAAACAGAGTTCGTGTTATTATCTTTAGTAGATTGTGGTAATTTCATAGCACCACAAGCCCCTGTTCAGGTTAGTAGCGGACTAGAACACGGTAGACGGAGCATTGCGGCACGCCACACGATGTCTCTAGAGCTCCGACTAACAAATTGGCATTTATTCATGTATACTTAGGCTGTAAAAGGATATCTAAGGGGATAGTCCTTCACCCGATAAACTTTTAGTACTATTTAGATAGTATAGTGATTATTCAAAGTTACTACTAGTTTAAGTACGACTGGTCTGCTTAATTCTATAGTAATGATCGTTATATGACTAAATAGCTCTGTCTGATTTAGTAGGTAGCAGACCTATGGGGACCGCATAAAAAATATCCTAATCTGAGTAAGTAGGGTTCTGCCTTTTTAGGATAGCGGTCAATCGCCACTGTTTAATGACCAAGACTGACATGCTTGTGCTTAAGAAATTGTATACTCGGCCGGTACAAGATTCAGGATGTTATAGAGATCCCAATGAACGAGAATTACATAAAATGATGAACCGAAGAGAATATTCAATCATAATCTAAATTAATGTGAACGGAAACAAAATAACCTTCTCAATGTTTTATAATTGGAGTCAGATAAAACGAGGATAAACATATTAATATTCTAAACCATCTCATACTAAAATTGGAGTCAGATATGAATTAAGTTTAATATAAATCGACATTGTGCACTGAAAAGACC